GAAGGTGGATGTCTTGATTTACAATTTCATTATGACATAACAATACAAGTATTATAACGTGATAATCGCTCTTACTACAACGGCAAGGCAAATGCAATGATATTATTAGTCTAATAATGGATACTCAAGTCTCATTGTAGCCAATTAGTTGTTATGCAACTACAAAGCTACACCAAATTTGTGAGAAACTAATGAAAAACAGCATTAAATATTCTCACACAATTGCAATTTAGGTTTCGTGAAATCCGATTTCAAGTTTTAATAGCCTTTGGGTACAATTCGATGTAAAAATAAATTTCATTTCCAGTAAAATTATAATAACGTAAATTCGAAACATCTCGGTAAAGACTAATTATCCACTTGGAAACAATTTTATAATTCGCATAATTTAAGTCGGGACGTGACCAAAAACACATTTTCATCGTTACGACTTGACAATAACAAGTTAATTGCAAGTACTTTAAGTTTTAAGAAAACACTTTTAATAATGTATGATAATAGGAAAACCGAAAATTGCTCAGAAACCGGAATTACCTGTTATTCTTTCATTGTTAATGTAAAAATCTGTTTCTTGATCATGTTTTAATTGCTATGTAGAACCCTATATATTCTGCTATGTTCTTAACGTTATTGGCGTCGGTGTGGCTCATCGTGCTAAGCGTTGGAAATAGGCTTGTCACCGCACCTCTGATTACTCTGTTTGGTTCACGTAACCGCTGGTCGGTTACGTCTTTCTCGACCATCAAGTCCATGCTTCCGGAAACAATTACTTACTAGTCCCATACCCGACATGGAATGGTAACCGGACGAGAGGCTGTGGTTCGTCATATGTTTAAGTCGTCTTATCGGCTTTCCGCTCCACCGGGATAAACCCTATCCTATAGGCCTTAATCAACCTTAGAGTGTATACATTGAATTCTGTTTATATTGTCAGAATTGCAATAAAAATCATAAGGTGTTTCAACTGACTAATATCTACGGTCGGAGACTATTGACAGATGGACGGTTCGGGTTAACGAACGTAAGACAAAACTCTTTCCAGTCAAACTCGTGTCAGACGAAACCTATCAGACCAACCAATCAACAATTAATGTGTAGTGAGATCCGGACCCTACATCCAGTGATGGAATTCAGCCGGTTCGCACCGGTTCTATAGAACCGTTTCAAGGAATTTTATGAGATCAGCGAACCGGTTAGCTTTACTGATTACTGTCAATGTTCTGTTTGTAACAGTTCTGTTTGTAACAGAACCGGCTGAAAAATATGACTTTTGTGATGGAACCGGCTGACAAAAAATTTGAATCCCACTACTGTCTACACTACATCATAAGCTTGCCCATTGCATACATGCTTATGTGTAATACGAATAGCTTATTTTCTAAAATTCCAAAAAGCTCCGCGGCACACCTGAAAATCTCTCGCGACACAATAGTGCGCCACGGCACACAGTTTGAGAAACGCTGATGTATATGAAGAGAGCTATTTACGACTCTTGTCCCAATGATGTCTTTTCTACCTATGTCTTTTGCCTGTTTCGAGGTTTCGTGCGATGAGAAGATGGAAATCCAAACTATTCGCGCGCGGGTTGCAATGAGTTCGTCTTCTTTACTATTCATGACATTACAATGTCCGTATTTCGACGAAAATGGTAATAAAACATCTGTCTAAAGACTGTTGTCCATGGGTGTAAACAGGCGCGCAGCCAGGGTTTTCAAAGGGGGGGGGGGGGGTCATAATCATAAATTCCCATTGCGGTCTGTAACAGCCTTCGCATTACGCGCTCGTTAAAGGGACGTCTTTTCAGCGTATAATGATTATTCTTGTCGCGTGAAATATTCAATCTCTGACAACTACAAAATTCTAAAATGTCTTTATATATTAGTTTAATTGTGTCCAACGTAACTCGCGGTTGCTTCTTCTTACGTCAAAATTAAAACATTAGTTCTCTGAAATGCCACGGCGATCGGTGGACATAAAAATATGAGATAAACGGTGTATTTAATTTTAATACGTATTTTTGGAATCTTGCCAACTCGTTATCGCCGTTAGAAAAATATCAATAACTGATATAAAATCCCGAAAAGTACAATTTTATTTCGTACAATGAAAATGCATATGCATTATATCGTTACATCAAAAATACATATTCATCGCCGCGATTACGCCACTTGTTAATTAAAAGAGCCGACGTTTACAACGAAAAATGATTTTTTTGTTGTGCAAAGTCATCAATTCGTGACCGATAAGGGCATATTTAAAAGGTCTTGCTTTATTAATTTAATTGTCTTCAATTTAACCAGTGTTTGCGTCGACAAAACAAAACAATTTTTTACAATTCACAATTTTAAAATACCTCGGCCATTTGCCGACATAAAAATAAAAATTTGTGGTAACTGTCCGTCGCCTATCATATATTGTTTTAATCCGTATTTTTTCTATTTTGCAAATTCGACAAATTTGAGATGTGCTTGTAACATTGACTCCGTTCAATCGCAATGCTGACACTCCGATTATTTTTAAAGATAAAACCTCCTGAAAAATCCGTAAATCTGCTGTAAATTCTCATGGAGTAAAATTTATTTCAGTACAATAAAAATTGATGGATATACTTCGGATTAATTATCTTATATATCATCACAAACCGGGAAAAAAATCGCGTTTTCAACCTTGTTTAATGATAACACGAAAATTTTCTACGACAATTTTAAAGTAATGGATAAAAGGCAAATCCCACTCACAATTAACCGTGTTTCGATTTTAGTGACGGTATGTTCCTAAACGGCGACCAAACATAATGTGCGCGGTAGGTACATGAAATGTTGCGATTTTGCGACTAGAAAAGCGTTTTTAGACTGTCGCGGGACTCAACAAAACTCATATTGTTTACGGTTTTATTTTCAGTATTTTATAATGCCGCTTTTCAATCAAATTTAGATCGCGGTTTTACTCCTCCTTTTGTCTTTAGAACCTCGCCACCGATGAACGTATAATAACTCACGAATTCACAATCCCGTGCAAAGTACAAAAATAAAATAATTATCATGTTTATCGTGGCACAAATTTATGATTTAGAAAGAATAAAAACCGACGTAAGGGCGTTTACGGCCTAAATAGAAGTCTGATGAAAACACGGGCGATTTTAGCAGAAGGCAATTGCACGCTTTTTCAGTTTTCACATTTCCGTGCGGGTACAAAAATAAAATAATTATCATTGTTCCCGCGGCACAAATTTGTGATTTAAAGAGAATAAACACCAATGTAAAGGGCGTTCACGGCATAAATAACATGCCGCGTTGATGAAAACGAACGGCGATTTTAGCAGAAGGCAATTGCACGTGTTATCGGCAACTTTTTCACTTTTCAGAAAATTCGAAATGGGGGGGTTATCGTCCGGTTACCATTCCATGTCGGGTAAGGGATTAGTTAGGTATTTGTTTTGGGAAGCATGGACTTGATGGTGGAGGAAGCCGTAACCGACCAGCGGTTACATAAACCACCCTACGGCGGCGAGGAATCCAGCAATCCTCTCGCACATAACTATCCCCGCACGGGATTCGAACCTGCGAACCCACGCAGACTAATCAGAGGTGCGGTGGCGAGCGTATTCATAACGCTTAGCACGATGAGCCACACCGCCGCGGTACGAATACTTCCACAGTGCCCAAAATTATACAGGTGGAAATGCACGTGGGTGCAGAGATAATGGAACTTAACTTTTGACCCGTTCACTAAGATTCGCCACCCCTGGTCATGGTGTATAGGCATAGCATATCCATCACGAGCTAATTCACAATTCAGCGCCACTCATTAATACATATATATATCGCCACACTGATAACAGAAACGAGTGAGTCATCTGTATCAGTAAAACTTCATGAAGGAAATTTTGAATACCTAGGGTGCTGAAAAACGTCGTAATTTACTAATGCCATTGTAATTTACTCTATGACCTTTGCGACTTCTAGTAGGGATACAACACATCGTACGTCAACCAGTTTGTTTTTTCCCTATAATATCTGTGCGTAAGGTTCGGGGTAGATCGGTATGTATTTATTCCGGGGGGGGGGGGGGGGGGGGGGGGGGGGGAGGAAAGTGGTATAAGGCGGCCTCTCGTCCGGTTACCAGTCCATGTCGGGTATGGGATTAGTTGGCCATTGTTTCTTATTCAAATGCCGTGTATATGAATCAATAAATTTATTTTACCTTTGTGTTGTTCACTTCTGTCAGGTAGTGTCCGCCTCAATTGTTACGTAACACGAGAGGTAGACACTACTTGCTGCAATTTGCGTGAGCTGCATTTTATTCATCTGCTAATTTGAGTTTAGCGAACGCGAGTGATTTTTTCAGTATTTTAAAGGAAAATCTGGCAGAGATGAAGAGTTGACATTTTGCATTCATTCCTCAGGCCTACATGTTTACAAACTTTAAAGGCATACCGATAAGATTAAAAGTAACGATCACAAAGTTCAGTTTTATTCAAAAGCAGCAACTATTGCGCCACGAGTTCTTTCCCTGATAATTTGGAACCGCGCGAGTTCGGGAACCGCTTGGAGTTTGCCAGCCGGTTATTTATTTCAGACGCATGGACTTGGTAGTGGAGGAAGCCGTCACCGACCAGAGCTCACCTGAACCACTCACCAAACGGTGGCGATGAGTTCAGCAATCCTCTCATACATAACTATCCACGGGGTTCCAACACGCGCATGGTAATCAGATGTGTTGTGGCGAGCGTATTCCTAACGCTTTGCACGATACCCAGTGGCAGATTGCTCGGTTGTTTGTAAATCGTTTCTGTGAATGCTCTTGTCATCTTTTTTAATGTTCGCCAAATCTCTTAGGCGAACCAGAGCTCCCAGGCCTTATTGATTTCGCGTCCTTCATATTTGAGCATTGGTCTCTTGCAACAATTATGTCAAACAACATAAGGCAGCAAGCCATTCATGTTGAAACTAAAACAAAGACCTGCAACAACATGTCCACATTCTGATCCAACTAATAAGTTACAAGTGAACTCCATTTAATTTTTGGATCATAAAGCAAACGTTACCGATACGATGTGTTATTATAAGTTCAATTAAGCACTCAAAAATTCATCTTGGCAGTGACACAAAAGCATGCTTTGGCAGGTAGACGGTATTAGAGAATGAAAGCTAAATCCAAGAAACACAAGAGAAACAAAAACAAGAGCCTATACAAGCAGAGTCAGGCACAAATTTGCCACCGCACTCGTATATTCTGGGACAACATAACAATTTAACAAATCCTAATTTTGGCGCCCCAGTGTGTACCAATCTGAGGTAACTAGTTTTGTTTGCCTGCTTTACATCAAGTTGTGCAAAGAGACTGAAACATATGGGCAGGCGGTATATTCACTTGGCTAATACACACAATCCCCGAACTCGTAATAGAACTAAAATAAGGAAAATCAGAATAAAATTATGACCTAACGCTAACCTGGTACACACACTATGAGAGTACCCTAATTTTTGCAAAAAGCCTTGCTATACACACAGTTCATGTTTTGAGCACCTTTGGAAGATTTTTGATTTGGGATAAAACATGTCTCATCGCAAGAAGGCAGGTTAGATCGATAATTGATAGATCTTATTGGATTTAAAAAATATTTCAAACATGACTAACACACTCCAACATTCTTTGAGTGGACTAAATCTCAACCCATATTATTAAACGTCACCAAGTAGGCACCATTCAGTCCTAGCTTTGACAGCTTCTTTTCTAACCAATCGTTTTTTGTCATCAAGAGTACAGGATAATAACCGTATTGTTTTCTTCTTATGTGGTAGAACTAAACTTACCGGAAGAAGCGTCATCACTCCAATACATTTCAAAGCCTGCATGGAACAAAGAATAGACATAAAAGGGTAGACTATATATAACATTCGAAATGCAAATATATTCAAGCTTTTAAAAATGAGAAATAGCTAAAGATTCAGTGCACTTCTTGTTCAAATATTTATGCCATTCAGAATCTCTTTACTGAATACCAAGACACACCACACATTTAATGATCAATTTGGCAGGTTTTGATCAATTTGGCAGGTTTTACTGAAGCCGGAGTTGTTGTTTATGTTCAAACTGCCACATGTCGGAATTTCATACTTTCAATTGTGATCATAGAAGTTTTTTTTAAAGAAGCACAAAAGTAGTCATCGAGCATTCCTAACATTCTATTAATAAACGAGGCTTGCACACCCTTTTGTTATCAAAACTTGAGTTTGTCATAGTTCTAATTCTTGAGTCTAAATATTTTTTTTTAACTCTCGAGTAGGATTCAATTTGTCCCCAACTTGGGAGTCAATGATAAATTTTCTACCGCTCTGCAACCCCGCTATGGCTGGGGTGGGCAATTACTTTTCCGAGTGGGCCAGATACATATAATTTAATAGACTTTGTTACTTGGCCGGAGGCTTAGAACTTAAAATGGAAAACTATGATATGAATAAAAACAGTTTATTTAAAAGAGCTAGTCCAACAGGTAGGGTAGGCTAACGTTTATATAATAATAAGAAGCACAATGTAACAATTGGGGGTCATTATGACGTATTTTTCATCAATATTTTCAACGGAAAAATCATATCCATAAAAAGTATAGTCATAATTTCAGCATACACAAGTGGGCCGGGTCCGGCCCGTAGGCCGCAATTTGCCCACCTCTGTGCTATTGTGCATTTTTGTCTCATCATTTACAGATGGAAAGATTCAGTCAAGAAGTATAAAATTTTTGGTATCTGAGTAAGAGCTTGGGACCACTGTTCAAATCATCTAGAAAGGAATCTGATTTGTTTTATTTCTCAGGACACCATGGTTTTGGAGACGACCGTGGAGTCCAAGTTTGGCATGTTTACATAAGAGTTAGAACTATATATTCAAAATCTCCATAGGAATCCTGATTTCCCGATATTCGATGGTATTGGTGTTAGAATAAAATTTGTTTTTCTCAGAGTGCAAGAGTTCTTTTGCAACTCAAAAATCTGAACCAAATATATTTTCAAATTGAACTGATTTTGGTCATGGCTTCACAATTTACAATTCAGCCTTATTCTGTAGTACACTTCTGCCAAAAACAAAAAAAGAAGAGCAAATAAAAACAGAACAAAAACAATTCATTGTTCCTACCTGTATGCGAACGTGCATATTAGCTTTGAAATTCGATAATCTGACAAAATGTTCTAATAGCATATCAACATGAGGTTCTACAGATGACTTAGCCTCTTGAGTCAAATTATACAAAGTGGAAAGCACAGACACAAGCAACGGTCCTTCATCACTGTTTAGAGATTTTATCAACATTGGTAACAGGCTGGATAAATGTTGATTTAGCACCTAAAAATAATATAAATCGTTAAATTTTTTAAATGACACATGTATACACTTTTGGGTACTCCCGTAGTGCGTGTACCAGGTTAGGGTTAGGCCATAATTTCATTCAGATTTTCCTTATTTTAGTTCTATACGAGCTCGGGGACTGTCTGTGTTAGCCAAGTGAAAATACCCCGTCCCATTGGTTTCAGTCTCTTTACACATCTTTTGGGTTCAACACTGCCTACTTAACTCGTTGCATCCTGGGTGAGGTGGCGAGCTTGGGATTTAAATGGACCAGGGGCCAAAAATTTTGCCCACCCAGACTGGCGGGCCATTTAAGTGTGACGTAAAAGTTACATTTTATGAACAATATTTATAGTTTTACAAAAGCAAAAGTGGAAAACAATAAGCCTCATGCGAAAACTAAATTTAATCACAAGTTCAACAAATTCCTTGAGCTATTTTTTAGTTAAAACATCAAAACTTGATTTTAGTTTGCTTGTGACAGCATTGGGTGGGCCATATTGAATTGAAATTTCACATTACATAGCTCCATTTAACAATCTCAAACTTGAATTGGATTGAAATTCATTGATTAATAATTTTACTCATACCTGTTTTGGAAGATACCTCAATAGGTGTGACAATGCTGTTAAGTAATTAGCTTTTGTCTGTGATAACAAATTGGAATTTTCTGTTACTGGCTCGGTTTCCATCATTGACTTCTGTTTTTCTTCTGTGTCATGAAATCCTGTTGTTAATTTTGGCAAAACTGATTGAAAAAATCTTTGCTTATACATGAGACGAACAACAGCGTGACAAGATGTGCTCAAAACCTCTTCAGAATCCCTGCAAATGGATGGGATTTACATATTTATCCCGGGGGAGAGGAAAGTTGAAATACGGCTTAATCATATGGCAAATCACAGCCTGTCGCCCGGTTGCCAGTCAATGTCGGGTATGGGATTAGTTAGCCAGTCATTTGTTTTCGGGAGCATGGACTTGATGGTGGAGGAAGCTGTAACCAACCAGCACCAAATAAAATCCAGTTCTTTAACACGCGAAGACGGCATAGCTAATTAAGACTCGCCAGCCAATACCTTGAGGGGTTCCTAAAATGTTGTGTCCCACATCTATATTACTTGTCCCACTCGCCACCCTTATATCATTTGTCCCACACCCAACACAAGTAGGACAATGCTCTAATAGTTTTGAAATTCTATAATTTTCCTCTAAAATTATTTCACCTTTTTCTTCATTTTAACACTACTTTCAATACTGAAGATCCCAATGTTTCAGTTTATAGATGAAAAAGTGTATGATAGAATATACAGTAAATTATATTATGGCTATATCATGTTATTGTTATAAAAACATATTATACGGGGTGAACCCCCCCAAAACAGAACCATTAAAGTACTTCTACAAAAATGAAACTTACGTCTGTTTGATTGTATTATACCTTATTAAAGTTTAAGAAATCAGTTGCACTGACCTTAAAATAATATCAAAACTGTCAGCTGCCATTTTCCCCCATTTTTCGGTGGCAAATAGTTGAAAAAGGATGTCTGCATATCTCATAGTGTAGGAATGAGAACGAATAACAAGAGCTTTCGTCACCCAAACGATCAAACTTAAAATTGCAACTTTGCTTTCGACCAAAACGGAATCGTCAAATAAACAATCACTGATTTGAAGCACCTGGTTTAAAAATTCTAGTTTATTAACCATTGTTCATCACTTGGGATAGGATTTGCATATTTATCCTGGGGGAGAGGAAAGTCGATGAGACGACTTAATCCTATGGCAAACCACAGCCTCTTGTACGGTCAGCAGTCCAAGTCTGGTATAGGACTAGTTAGCCAGGCCTGCGGTTACATGAACCATCCCGTATGGGATTCGGACTTGTGAACCCACACAAAGCACAATGCGTCACACCACCAAACCACTTATTATTACTGCAAACTCTTACGGTATATTCATTATGTGATATTAAGTTATATTGTTTAGTTTGATTTTTTGAAAAGATGTTTATCTATAAAACATAAATTTTTACCCAACGACAAAAAATTGTAATGTTCCGAGATAATTTAAAAAAATATTGTATCAAACCTTGTCAAGAAATGCTGTAGATGGCTCTTTTTGTTTGTTGATGATGCCAGCAATACATTTTGAAGCGGAAGCATATGATGGTTGATCAATTGTCTCTCCACAAAGATGAAGCAGTTTTTCCAGGAATGTGTCAGTGGATGGAAATAAAACTTTGTTATGGAATGCACAAATCGTCGCTGTTAGGATAGAAATCAACCTTGTCTGCAGTGGTAACTTAGTGAATAAAAATGGGTTGAACGTAGATTTGTCTATTTTGATATCAAGAGAGACCAGATCACAATCCAGAAATATTTTTTTCAGATTTACACAAATGTTATCTGCAATTTTTCCAGGCTCTAATTGTTGACAAATTGTTCTTAAAATTTCACAAGCTTTTTGCATGATTGGCCACGTTATACAATTACTAGAAAAACTCTGAAGATCGCTGCATGTAGAGCAGCATTGTTCGGGGAGAGACGGTACAAGAGATAATTTGACGCAAGTCTCAATCAGAGGAAATACAAGTACATTTGTGAAATGATCCACTGTGCTTTTATCTTTGACGTTTCCTTTCACAATAACATACAATGAATCCAAGCAAGCGAGTATCGTTGAGACATTTTTCTCATCCACGTTTCTTGACAAAACTTGTTCCATAAGCAAATCGCATGTTATAGATGTTACTTCAATACGAGTCGAAATACTGCATATTGTTGAAAGACATTTAGTTTTGTCTTGCTGATTTATGGAAAATATTCCTGTTAGAGGGATTTTTAAAACTGGTAGCAAATGTGCTAAAGCAACATCAGGCCATTTTGAGGATAAAAATCCACATGTCATGTGTAAATCGTTAAGAATTGCTGAATCTTTTTCATTATTCAAACAGTTAATCAGGCTATGAACAATTGTGATCTGTTCTGAAGGAGTTATGAGTAATCCCAAATTACATAATGCGGCAACGCCGGCAAGCGCAATGGTACGTAAATGTACAAATTCATTCAGAGAAAGTCGACCACAGAAAAGTTCAATTAGATCATTTTTGTGCTCTGACAGAGGGTGCGAACCCATGTCATCCTTGAATTCATGCAATGAAGTAGACTTAACAGCATTTACAAGAACTTCCATTGCCAACCGTTTTTCCGCGATCATCATATCTTTTTTATCTTGTGATTTCAACAAAACTGGAACCATGGAAGACACAATAATTTCGCAAGATCGCTTAGAAGCTTCGGAACATGAAATCATAAGTTTAGATGATGACCAAGCCATTACCTCTTGCAAATGGTCAACTAAATGAGGTAAACACGACACTTTTACATCTTCTAAAAATACATCTAACTCTGATTTTTTCGATGCTCCTACAGGTGCTTTGGACAAAACAAGAACAATCCTTTTAAGCAGATCATGGCATGCTTCTTCAATTTCTTTAGAATTGGATGACAGCACTTCTTTTCGAATGCAAATCCAGAGAGATTTTACATGTGATTTGATATCTTCACTAGAATAAACATTCATGCAAGATTTTAACGTCAGGATTGCATCAATTTTAGCACTTTGAACATCTGATTCCAGTTTTTCTATCATCAATGGAATACAAAATGGAGCAAATAACAGAGAAGACGTTAAAACTCTACGCAAACCAATGACAAGTTCTTTATTCGTAATAACAACTTTATTTCCGGATAGATCTGAGGGGGGATGAAAGTCTATTGGAAAATAACAACCAACAACTTCGAAAAATTCCTCAGCAAATTTTGACAGATCGAAGCCAGACCGAACAATTGAATACAGAAGATCGAAAACTTTTAACAAATTCCTTGGATCTTGCTCACCATCAACTGCAGTAATTACACCATATACAAATTCATCACCTAAATTTCTCACTTCGGTCGTAGAATGTTCTAATAGATTGGCTAAAAGTTCATACACATTGCGTCTATCAGATTGCATGCAGGATGGAACATGCACTTCCTTGAACAAGATTTTTATAATAGATTCAGCTGCACCTACTTGAAGATCACCACGAGAACTTAAAGCTACAAGACATTTTAATGTGGGAGATTGAAGGAAAAAATGATCTTGTAAACGTTGACATAAAAACTCAATAATAACTGCGGATTCTTTCGATTTTAAACAGCTTGGATGTATATCTGATAGCACAGCTGCAAGTAAGTTGACTGGCTTCAATCTCACATCTACATCTGTACTGGTTAAGTCATGATGCAATGTTTCCATAAGTTGAAGAATACTCCCCGAGGCAGTTGAAATTGCCAATATAATATCTTTTACTAAAGAATCCTTCTCATTTTCATCATCCTTTAGATATTTTTGTACAAGTTCTTCCATGATTCATATGATCGGAGCATTGAACAATGTAATATTTTTATTTATATTGATCAGTATATATATCTTGATGTTGACTAGTTTGAATATAAAATTTAATTGTTATAGATAATATTACCAGAAGTATTGTATGTACATCTGTACATTGGCATAGTGCTGTAGTGCGATTTACCAAGGCTTGTAAGTTAGAAATCAACTTTACTTTTAGCCCCATAATATCTGGAACTGCAGTGCCAACAATATTCACACTACTGCACTATAGCTGGTTTAAAACTTTAGATTTGTGCCCTTGCATTTTATTTTTTTTTGTTAAATTGAATTCCAGGGATAAAATAGAATTGTAATAAAAAAGCATCCAAGTGTAAGTCAAACTTCTGAACTTTCAATAATTAATTTAGTACCGTACGGTACCGTACCGGTACCTATTTTGGAAAACAATCACATGTACCGGTACTAAATACCGGTACTGATTAATTAGACAAAGAATTTGTAACCATACCGCGATACCGGTACAGACTGACAGATGGGGTCTGGTATAGTTTAGTACCACATCCACTTGTAGTTGGCCTGGCTCAACATTTTTGCATATGTCAATCCTAACCACCACCTGACTACGTCACCAAAAAATTACGTCATTCCGACGTCACAGTGGCGTAAAAGGCCCACCGAAGTATGCGGATGGTCGTCCAAAACGCGCAGACGATAACCCGAAATCCGAGGCGCAGTTCTTACCAATTCATGGCAGCTCCTGCCACGAGCGTACCACGCCGTCTCTTGCCATGGTTATTAGCAAACCGTGGCAAGTGTGTATATACCGCGGCGATGGCAAAAAGTACTGCCGTTACCGCGGCAGCTTTGCCATGGTTTCAGGGCAGCTTCGGAAAATATTTACCGGTATGCCTTATTACCATGTATGTTGCAGTATCTGGGGTTTTTGTACTATGGATAATGGCAGGTGAGTATGATATTAATGTGCCTTATTAGTGCGTTGCGACTTTGGTAATTTCAGTTACAGAGTCGTAAGATTTGTGAGCTGTTATCCATGCAAGCCTCTGTCTTTTAACAATCACTCTGACTTTTTGATAGCTAGATAGTCTGCCAGTACAGCAGTAGGGTAATGCCAGAATGCGGTACCGGTAATCTAGGTACCTTACTGCCCTATTTCTGTACCGGTATCTCCAAATTTCTAGTATTCACGAGGTAGCCTACGATAAGATCCAGCAAGCTATTTCTCTCGTTTTCTCGTCGCAACGATCACGATAGGATAGAGATCGCCGGCCAGAACTTTTAAACTCCCCGTCCTTCCCATTTTCATTGCTTGATAAGGTCATTTCACACGGCAGGACGGTGTTTTTACTTTGTTGAGCATGAGTCACTCTGCGTGGGTCCGCAGGTTCGAATCCCATGCAGGGATGGTTATGTGCGGGAGGATTGCTGGACTCCTCACCGTCGTTGGGTGGTTCACGTAACCGCTGGTCGGTTACGGCTTCCTCCACCACCAAGTCCATGCTTCCGAAAACAAACAATACAGTAAAACTAATCCCATATACCCGACTTGGAATGGTGACCGGACGAGAGGCCGTGGTTCGCCATATGGATAAGCCGTCTTATCGGCTTTCCTCTCCCCCTGGGATAAATATGTGAAATCCTATCCTAGTTATTTGTCCATAATACTGAAATAAGGATTTGGAATCTACCAATCATAATACTGAAATAACAATCTGACAATATAGCCTAATAAATACGGGGCCCATGAGTGCTCAAAGCCGAAAAACGGGTGTAATAACTTCTAAAAAGATGATAAATTAGTTGAAGATAGCCAAATAAAATGCTGAACATGAAAGAAGCAACACGGGCATTGGGAGCAACGAGTGAATCCGATGGATGTTTTCTCGACCCTTGACCCCATGAAAATTCTCTCTACACTTTACTATTTTGAAATTTCGGATGCTTTTTTTGCTAGTGTTTTGGAGAGTTGGTATTTACATTTAAGTTACATAATTGAAACCATAATTTGTATCAAAATATACGATCAGGTGCCGCTAACAGGTACTGATAGCTAATTTTAACATGGTCTAATTTTTGATTCTTGCAACTAAACTGAAGATCACCGGAAGACATAATGACAATTAAATTACCTCATTCACAAGAGCCAAAGTTTACACAACCATGCTTGAACTGATGGATCATTCATGATAAATTTAAACTGACACCAGTGATCGACAACCTCTTATATATTATTTGCCTATAATCCACGTCTATAAAAACCTTACTTGAACCTTTAAAAATCTATATATTCACATAACTTACTTTCGTACCTCAGTATCATACTCAGGCCACTTTTAATTGGGCCACCCTGTAAATTCGATGGCGCATAGTCTACTATAGTTTACTAAAGATCAGTTGATGCGCCTAGAGTTTTGTTCAAAGTAGAGACAAGGTAACACAATATAATTGAATTATTTGAACTTTAATAATATTTCTTTGCCTATAATCCACGACTATAAAAAACCTTACGTGAACCTTTAATAACCTATACATTCCCATTCCCAGGTTGGGTATGTGATTAGTTAGCCAGTTATTCATTTTCGGAAGCATGGACTTGGTGGTAGAGGAAGCCGTAACCGTGAACCACCCTACGGCGCGAGGAGTCCAGCAATCCCACGAAGCGTAATCAGAGATGCGGTGGCGAGCGTATTCCTAACGCTTAGCCGATGCGCCACACCGCCGAGCCACTGTTCAGCTTTGTGCAGGATACGGTACTCTATGGTTTTCGGTGAATTGATGATAATATATTTCGTCTTGTTTTACGTGTCCGTATATTTGAGCATAGCTCTCTTGTTTTGTAAGCATGTGTTTGAAAAGAAAGCTGACGAATTCAAATAGATTTTCAATTGTATGTGGGAGAAAAAGTATCACAAATGCTTGCTTGATAAAAGAATATAATTTTAAAGCAGCATTTTAGAATCTTGTGAGTAATGGCATTTTACAAAGTCAAGATTTGGTTTGAAAATTTTATCGAGGTTCGAAAGCACTTGCATTTGCGGAAGCACTTTTCTCGTTATGAAGAGTCTGAAATCTTACACTATATATAGGAAGACTTTTGCAGGTTTGAGCTTGATAAATGATAAATACTGATCAATGGTGTTGCACAATAAAATTGTTTGCTGTGCACTGTTCACTTATTGGACACGTAGTGGACATAACGATCGTTTCAATATTATGTTGTTGTTGTTGTTGTTGTTCTTGTTCTTTGACACGTTTTTAAAAAGTCGCTTTTCTCTTCGAATACTGAACCAATTGCTTTGAAATTTTCAGTGGTTAAAGATTAATTTTTTCGCTAGAAGGCTATCACTTTTATTTATTTCAAAATTTTGCGTGAATTCTATGAAATTGGATATTTCGTCTAAAATTTTGCTGTATTATTTTTTATCCATGGGAATACGGATTTTAGTCAGTGTCATGACTGGCTGTACGTTTTGATTCTGCAAAATTCTTGCTACTGGAAATTCAGAACTTTTTTTAGGGTACCGGTAGCGTCAAAGGTACCGGTAAGGACTGATTCGCTCTGGTCTAACGTGTCCATATATTTGTGCGTAGCTCTCTTGTTCTTGATATTATTGTGGCCCGCGAACAATGCAAAAATGATTTTGTGGCCCTCGGAGCCGACAACCTTGGACCACCCTGGTCTAAAGCAACGATAGGAAAACCGCGACTCGCGAGAGTTTTTATGTGGCCCTTCTCGCTAGAATTTATTATTATCAAAATGTAGTGTAACAGTTTTTTTAATTTATTAGGCAGTAGAAGAAATTTTCATCAATGATTAAGACAAATTATGTTTTAGTATGAAAATCGCTGTGGCATTGAATTTTAAATCAGTAAAAAAAAATATTGCTGATGTTGTCGCAGTCAACAGCCCAAACGCAGGTTTCGCGTCGCACTATACACAAAGGCACATTCCCAAATCAGTATCAATGTAACGTTAACAGTTACAATGCAAAATGATTTAATGAGCTCTAATATTGATAATTTTGAAAATTGTGCGGCTCTCACATATTTCTGACTTGCTGCATACGGCTCTTATGTCCGCGGGTGCGAAATTATACATGTGCAAATGTCCTGTGCAGTTTACGGGTGCAAATGTATGTGGATGCAAGTCAAGTCAAGTTTATTTTTTCCAACCAGTAAAAAACAAAAAACACATGCAAAAATATATAGAAAAAATGATATTTAAATTACTGGGGAAGGGAAGCCGCGGGGAACCAAAACTGGTTATCGAGCTGCGACACCCAAGGTTCTAACACCTAGTTTGACAGATCGGGGAAAGAGTTTCAACGAATAGATACCATATAAATTTTACAAAAGAGCTAACTAATTGCAATTGTTATATATTATTACTAAAAATTACCGTGCATTAAATGTGCCATAATAGCAGCGAATAACGGGGGATTTCCCGTTTGCATAGACCTAGCTGTAGCGAAATGTTGTTCTGTAGAATAACTGGGGAATTTTGAAGGTGACCTGACCACAACGTGGTTGTGCTATGACAGTACAGCAGTATGAAGCGATATAGCAATGGACACCGATCAGGTAAATAAATAAAGTGAAATTAGCACGCTGGATGTTGAAATAAATATTCACCATTGGTGTCCTGACGCGTTATCTCAGTACCGGTACCGTACTGCTTGTAAGCTAACAAGAAAAATATTAGGAACAAATATAAATGCAGATGTGCTGTCACCTTATAAGACTTGTAAAATATATTGCACATAAGTCCAATGTTTGTTGAAGCATTTTAATATGTATAGTGTAGAGTAAACTCGTTGTTTCGTTTTTAGGCTTACGCACTCTGCAACATGGAGCGCAAAGTTCAGTTGGGGCGCGTCAATAAGGCCAACCGGGGCAATGCCCCGGTTGTTTTTTTGGTATAATAAAAAATATTCGAAAAATACCTCAATATCGGTTGCACAGACTGTCTACACTAGCCATATTCTCCCGACATGGTTCATTTTTCGCTCGCAAAGCCTTCGCCGAACGTCGACGAGGCGACGCCGATTTTGCCCCGGTTGCTCATTGTATATCGTGTTCTCTCTTTTATCTTCCACTCGCCGCGTTTGTCTCGTTTGTTTTCTGTTTCTTTTACTAAATCATCGGGGCTAGCCCCGAAATTATGACGACACAATGCCGACGTTTCTTACAACAACGTGTTGACATATTCACGCATTCCTTCTCGTTCGTTGGTTGCTTGAAGAGTTGATAGTTTCCTCGCCTTCGTTTTTGTCGCTTGTTTCGCTATTTGAATCAGTTAGAGACCTTTAGTCCATTTGCTTTCGATTTTCCACATTCCTTTTGAGCTCCTCACTTCTTTCCGGTTTCGCATTTCTTAGCCTTAGTCTTCATAATGAATAAGGTTGATGCACTACCTCGCACTCCGTTTTCGCAGCTGCCGCTGAAACAAAAATTAGAGGTACAACGTCTTGGGCCTTATCAACCAAAAAATTGTTCACTGGAACAATCCCATGACGGAGGAAAGCGTCGGCGTACATTCTGCGCAGAAACTTGGTATAAAAAACACGAATGGTTGTGTTACAGCGAGGACAAAAATGCACTTTTTGTTTTTATTGCCTACTTTTTGCTACCGCCCGTGACTCACGTTGGTGTAAATTTGGTTTTAGAGATCTTAAACATCTTTCCGAGCGTGCCAGGGATCATCAATCTTCTATGGAGCATCTGGACAATGCAGTAAAATACCGAACATTCGGAAATGTTAATATTGCAGCACAGTTGGATGAAGGACGCGCGGTTTCTATTCGTCGGCACAACCAAAACGTCGAGAAAAACCGCCATGTTCTCGGTCGATTGATAGATGTTTTGAAGTTCATTGGTTGTCACGAGCTGTCCCTCCGTGGGCACGATGAACGGGCTGGCTCTTCTAATAGAGGAGTATTTTTGGATATGGTGGAATACACCGCATCCCTAGATACAGTATTGAGAGATCATCTTGATGCCGCAACTGTTTCGAAAGGGACATCTAAGGATATCCAAAATGATTTGCTCGACTCAATGTATAAAATTTATTTACAACATTTGGCTCTGGAAATTGAGAATTGCCAGTTCCTTTCGATTCAGTATGACGAGACAACTGACATCACGTGCGTTTCCCAACTGACTGTGATTTTTCGGTTTGTGAAAGATGGTAAACCTACCGAGAGTTCACAGCTTTGTACCAATCGTTGATCGCACGGCTTGCGGGATATCGGCTGTACTGAAAGAAGTGTTACAGCCTTACAACGCGAAGTCAAAATTGATAGCTCAAACTTATGACGGCGCGGCAGTCATGAGTGGGTCGAAACATGTTGTTCAAGTTTATATAAAAGAAGATTTTCCTCTTGCGCATTTTTTACACTGTTATGCACACCAATTTAACCTCGTTATTAAAAATATGTGTCTTGATACCCCTCTCGTCCGTATATTTTTTGCAAATGTTTCGGGGTTTTCTTCATTTTTTTCCGTTTCGCCGAAGCACTCTGACCTTCTTCGCTAGATATGTAGCCGCCGTCTCCCAGCTTGTGCACCAACACGTTGGAACTTCCAATCACGCGTGGTGCAGGGCGTGTCCGAAATTAGGTCTGAGCTCATTGAGTGTTTCAATGGCATTCAGAGCTCTCCGGTTTGAGACGAACGCTCTGTGAGGGAGGCGGCAGGTCTAAAGCGTCTGCTAGAAGATGGTGAGTTGTCATTTTTTCTCGCTTTTTTCTCCACAATATTCTATCACGTGGATGTATTATACGGCGCATTGCAGTCAAGGCTAATGGATTGAGTGTCTGTGCAGTCGTGTATTTCAGACTTCTACGATGCTGTATCTCGTATCCGGGAAACAATAAAATACGACGACACATGGAGTGCTTCTTTACGTCGCGGGCAAACAACGCAGCGTTTGATTTTGTCTGCAAAGGAATGCTGTGACATTCTGGTGAATCAAATAGGCGATCGTCTGCGCACTGAACACCTTGCCGCGTTCTCTTTGATGAACCCCAAAATTTTTTCAAAATTTGCACGTCAATTTCCCATCCATTTGTTGGCTACTGTCTCCAAATTTTACCCCATGATAAACGTGGGTAAATTGGAAAATGAATTGCGATGTATATACACCAATCAAACTTTTTTGAACATCACATCAACTTGCGCGCTCTATGGGTTCCTCATAGATAACACTCTAGTAACTACCTTTGCGGCGTCTGCAAAATTTCTGGACATCATTTTGACGACGCCTATTTCTTCCGCCGACGCAGAGCGAACATTCAGCACGCTGAAGCGTATTAAAACGTATCTCAGAAACACAACGAAGCAAGATAGATTAAATTCCTTGGCTGTTTTATCCATTCACAGAGACGTTATTTCTGGGATGCATGACTTTAATCAGCGCGTTATTGATCATTTTGCTTCCAAGAAACCGCGGCGTGTTGCATATATGTTCAAGCAGTAGAAGTCTAGCAGCATATATATCTATGAGTGAGCGACGCATGTCCTTATCTTTGCATTACCTTTCCTTTCTTCATAGTAACGTTTTAAACCTTATTTTAGGTTTTGTCTGCTTTCCCGAAGTTTCTGTTAATATGTCATTGTATTTATCTGGGTAAATATTGCCTTTCCTTTTGAAAGAGGTTTCAAAATAAACTATGTCTATATTTATTAATCCCTTGACTTGGACCGGTTTTAAAGACACTTTCTTATCGTTAAAAATTTGTCGTTTTTGCCGATTGGTTGTTACCCATGAAATGGTTTTTATACTCATAAAATGATGGGAGATCTTACAGCGCTCATCCTGTCCCCGTAGATGGGGGTGACTTGGTCCCGCAGTAGCTTGCCCCGGTTGTCAAAATGACCACGCGCCGCCACTGGCAAAGATATTAGTTTTCACGCAATGTTTTGCAAATATAAAATCTACTTGCGACAAAAAACGTCTCATGCAGTTTTTCAGTGCTGTTCTAGGTATTCTAATAAAACAGAAGCAATAGGAAAAAAATTGTTTTACAAAAGACCCCACGTTATCGAAAATCCACGATTTTCAATCATTGAGTTATTCGGAATTGAAATTTGTTATACAAAATCATCACTTGAACAGAAAACTGTCATGCAGTTTCTAATTTGGATAAGAGCAAACTATCCCATACATTCTATGGTTCGGCGGTCTATTACTCATTGCTGATTCTATCAGTTGGGAATGATAAACTAGCACAATGACATTTGTCCACACGGTATAACTGTTGGGTGGAGTTGATAAATTATTTTTCCACTGGATGTATGTGTTTTTCGGGACATCGTAGTTCTGAATGAGATAAGATGGAAATGTTGATACGGGTTTCAAACTATAAGAAATTATAAATGATGAAAACAACACTTACGATTGGATTTATCTCCAGTCCGATCCAAAATGCATAATGATTTCTTTCGGGAGGCGGTATTTTGTATCGAAAGTATTCTGTTACATTCTGGAAAGTCTCATTGTTCGGAAATGTCGGGAGATTTGAATTTCGGCCTTTGCAATACTGTTGTGCTTCTGTAAAATTTATCCAGTGTTCCAAGATTCTTCCCCAGTAAGAAGTTCCGTTAAATTGAAGTTCGCAACCTAAATTGAAAAACAAAGTATTTTATATTTCGACTATACCAAGTTTTTGTTAGTTTCCATTTTCACTAACTTGTGCTTGGAAAAGATGCATTAGCGTCTGTTACTTCTGATGTCATATTGGATTTCGACGTTGAAACTTCTTCATTACTTCTCGTAGAAGTTGCTGAAACAATTGGGGTGACTATGCTTGAAGTTGTGTCGAGGACTTCGGTTGTGGGCGTAAAATGTGTACCAATCCCAGTATTTATGTTTGTTGAAATAACAACGTTAAGTTCTAGCTGATTCAGGGACATGAGCTCTTCCAGCTTCTCCGACAGTTGGTCTTTTAGTTCTGTTGCAGAATGAATTAATGACGACATGACATACTATTATATGACAATAAGAAGATAAACACGGTCGTGTACAAATGTATACGAAACGTAGTTTTATGCGCCTATTGAGTTGAATAACTTACAACTCCCGATTTTTAACGAGTATAATGTGACTTTTAACGCCAGTGTCACAGTCAAGGAAAGAAAAATATACACAAAACGATAAAATTTTTCATTGAACCACTTCGACCCAGAGAGTTATTATCGGCTGGGAATAGAAAACGTACAACTGAATATTTCTAGAAGTCTGTCGATTGGTGTTTTTAGTTTCTGCCATGTTCCGTCTCGTATATGTATTAGTTGTGAATTGCGAAATATCTCTAGACGTTCGGGATGATCGAATTCAGAGTAGAGTATGTTGGAAATGACAATTCAAATAAAAAATTGGTTGTATTCATTTTGCACGAAATATTCGTGAATTGAAAATTGATGTTCATACTTATTTGGCGAATAATAACAAATCACTCCGTGAATATAGAATATGCAAACTCACCTTCTATGTCAGTCGACTGCAAAAATAAAATTTTGAATATTGTGAAATATGTTTTTAACACGCTTTTGTATATTAGGTGATCAACCCAGTGGGTAATCAGATTTGTGATATACAATAATCTCTATTTCTTCGTATAATAGGCCTACATGTGAATCATAGTACGGGAAAATAATCGTTAAAACACTAACTGTCTTTCCAAGCAACTATCTTGGTTATTTTTCTTAATGAATTTGCGTCACCATTACGCATATTAGTTACATTAGGACTCACCGTGATTTCATATTCGCTCTCGCACGATGAAGACGTCGACAACGGAGTAGATGAGTCATCGCGGAGGTTAATACTTATCGAGATTTCAACTAGAAAAAATATTACGTATACTGTTAGATATAAAACTATTGATATCTCGAAATGTAGCACATAATACGAAAAATATAGATATAACTTGGTAATAGGGTGTTATAATACGTGCATTGTTTTCAAACGAATAATTTGTTTCCAATTTGAGAACGACCTCAAAAAGCACCTACTATCTTTTTCACGGACTAGATTTCACGGAACTGCTATGAACACTCAATAAATATTTTGTTTCAAATATTTCGTTAAGGGTGAAAGATTATTTAGCGCTGTCGCAAGTCTTTAAAGTTTAGTTACCTTTGACCCTTTAACCCACTGTACAAGCGCATAAGATCCTTTCTCATATTCGCAGTGACCAAACCAAGAACACACAATAAATTTTGTAATATTCAACTTACAATCTATATTTAATCATTTCCTATTTCAAATATGTTTCAAGCAGCACGGTTTTTCCCCGCAGAGTTCTTAACTTTGTGGTATACATCTGTGGAGGCGTTCTTCTCTGCCTCAACTTATTTTGACAATTAGTTTCAGATATATACATATAAAATCATAACAATCAAATTTAGCTGTACCGTCTTAATACGATTAATATATATGTATAGGCCACTCACAAATTTTATATACTAAAACCACTTACCTCCATTAACAAATGAGCTATTAAGAAATATGAGAACTATCAGAACAATATCTCGCATTTTCCAATAGTAAACGTTTCAAATATCTAATGCAATCAGAACGTCAGAGAAGAAATAACCATTCAGAACGAAGACTCACGGTAGATATACAGCACTGGAAAATGGCAGCGTTAGTAATGATGAATCAGATTTCGTGTACGCAAATGCCGTTGCCCATACCGATGCATATGAAGGCAGGAATAGAGAATAGTTGTTTCGACAATTGCTATCAATCATTTTTCTCGTTCTTGCAAAATTCGTCACAAATTATTTCCACGTCACATTTTGAAACTCCGTTCACCTCTGGACAGTTAAACATCCATCATGGCAGAATCTCTTATTAAAATAAATTATGTAGTTGAATAATTTTCGCTTTTTTACAGTTTATATTTGCTGAATTACCCTTACCAGCTGTTTTATATATTTATCCCCGGGTAGAGGAAAGCCGATAAGACGGACAACCACGGTCTCTTCGTTTACCAGTCAATGTCGGGTATGGGATTACTTGAGCCAATTCAATTCAATGGATGGCTTGTTTTTCACGTGACTGCTGGTCGGTTACGGCTTTCTTCACCATCAAGTCCATGCTTCCGAATACAAAATACCTAACTGATCCCATACCCGACATGGAATGGTAACCGGACGAGGGGCCGTGGTTCTCCATGTGGTTAAGCCGTCTTATCGATTTTTCTCTCCTCCGGGATAAATATGGCGCGGCGGTGTGGCTCAACGGGCTAAGCGTTAGGAATACGCTCGCCACCGCACCTCTAATTACTCTGCGTGGGTTCGCAGGTTCGAATCCCATGCAGGGATGGTTATGTGCGAGAGGATTGCTGGACTCCTCGCCGTCGTTGGGTGGTTCACGTAACCGCTGGTCGGTTACGGCTTCCTCCACCACCAAGTCCATGCTTCCGAAAACAAACAATACAGTAAAAACTAATCCCATACCCGACTTGGAATGGTAACCGGACGAGAGGCCTTGGTTCGCCATATGGATAAGCCGTCTTATCGGCTTTCCTCTCCCCCGGGATAAATATGTAAATCCTATCCTTTCCTATGTAAATCCTATATGAACAAGAAAGTCGAATAACTACGTCAAATAGCCGGATGAGAGGTCGTGGTACGCCATATGATTAGGCCGTGTTGTCGACGACTCTCCTCTTCCTTGGGAAAATATGAAAATCCTATCCTAAATTTTCACTAATTAAATATGGGAGTGTCTCGGAAAAGTTGTGGCGTTCGTTCCTCACCCAATTCTTTCTGGGATACATTTACCCTTATAAAAAATTTGCTGATTCTGAAGAAAAAAATTGTGGCAATACGTGGTAGTTTAACACTTCGCGTCCATTCATTATTTTGTCAGTAGTCGCAAATTATAGTTCATGTTTCATAAACCAAAGTAACATATAGCTCAACTGCGTTCTGTATGATTGAACTTAATTTTTGAACATTTTTTTGCTTAGAATCAGATTCAAACTTATTTTCTTCGGCAGAAACCTGCCTGCTGACAACCTGACTGAATCACTAATGGAAAGAAATATGGCCATTCCATTATCATACAATATATTTGTTGAACAATGTGAAAAAATAACACTATTAATAACAAGAATTGATTTGGGAGTGGGATAGACACGGTTTACTTCAGCTTGGGGAGTAACTTATCTACATCTAATCCTGTCCGCAACAAAAAATAAGTGAATTGTGCTAACTGCATTAACCAGAAATGGCAATAGGTAAAATAAACCAAATCAAAACCATCTACCATAAAATTATAGAGAGAAATATATATTCCATAAAATTATTGAAAATAAAGATGAATCAAACCTCAGAGGGAATAACATAAAATCCAGCAAAAAAGAATACTGTAAGGCAATTCAGAACGTGTTCAATCGAGTTCGTACCATCCGTAAAACATTTTTCACACTAGGGTTATAATGCAGCGTTTCATCATATACATATCAAAATAACCTGATACAGTGAAAACAGCATAAATTCACAAAAAAGTCGTAGCTCTGTGTCAGAAGGTGGTTATATATCAACACGATTGTGAATCCGTGCACCATATAGTAGTAATAAACGTGCTGTTACGAGCGAATAAGATAGAATGATAAAAAAGGACATGATAGATAAATACAAGAACTTATCAGCTCTGTGATAAATTTCCCCATATAGAAAAGTGTGCATTGTATAATATTTTATGTGTGAAGGATGGACTATTTTTTCAAATGTCCATATTTTATGTGTGAAACCCAAACTATTTGCCAGACAATATTTTCAAAGATATATGAAAGCAATAGGATTTGACAATCATTATAAGCACCTTCCTGTGACCTTTTTACTATAAGAAAGCACGAACTGTCAAAAATACCAAGGGGAAAGAAATATATGCATTTATGATCATAATGTATTATTACTGGAATCATATAAAACCACCATATGAAAGTGATACGAAATAGGTAATAAATGCATGACTAGTTGGTTCATGTGTTAAAAGTAGCATTGAAGTTAATGATTCTATAGTCAAGGTGAGGTGTTACGTTTTTTGTGCAAATCGTGAATTTAGTTTTTCACTTGTTTTTTGATATATAAGCGCACCTAAAATGCAAAAAATAAAGTTAGGTTTTGGAATGAAGCTCAATATGGGGGGTCAGGTATTATTCCTATCCACGATTTGTGTTCGTTCATGTAAGATTATACAATGGCAAGAAAGGAGTGGTGCTTTGTTATTACTATTATTATAGAAGCAAATATATATATAAGAAAAGCTTTGAACATTATGTCACAATGGCACGAATAGTACGTACGTAAGCACCATGTATAAAAAAATATTGGCAAATGTCAGTTAAAAATGCATTATTTAATAAATTTCATTATATATAAAGACAATTATATATTTTGATGGTTATATTATTGTCAAAACCCCTTGAACATTTTTGCTTCTACAAATACATATAATGATTCTTGTGGCTAAATGAAAATGAAGCAATTTTAATCTGGAATTGTGGGCATATATGAGTGTCCATGAAGTTTTAAAATTGTAAAGGTAATTTATTGATACCATATATTGTTTTGCCCTCAAAGATTTATAAATGAAGTAAAAATACTTAAACAATTACTGACTAAAAACCAACCAACAAACCCGGTTAAGATATATAGAGAACTGACTTCATACCAAAATTGAAATTGTAAAGAGACTTTATGGACACCCTATATATCTAAAATTGATTTCGTTGAGTTCATGTAACTACAATTAAGGCATACGAAAATGAAATTTTTTCATTTAGCCTAGATAGCCTATTCCTGTAGTGAATTTCATGCTTGAAAATCCATCGTTCCCCGTCTTAACGATGTAATGTTTGTATCAAATACAACAACATATGACAGGGTTGTATTTACGGTACTATGTAGTTATCGTGTATTTATATTGGCAAGTGGAATAAAAAATTACAAAAAAAATCAAAGAAAAAAATACAACTTCATGTAATTCAAAAAAAAGTGGAACGCTGAGAAGGAAAATGACTAAAAATAAATTTAAAAGTCTAATTTACACAATTTCGAATTCATCCTTGCAACCAGTGTAATATTGAACTCGTAATTTGACACTAATATATATTTAGACACAATAGAAAGTGAACCGTTACATCAAGGATATAGTCAATTTGGCGCTTCAAATATCCAAAAGTAAAATATTTCTCACTGAATTCTCTCTATTTTGGAACTAGTGAGAAGTTTTTTATTAGTTAATAAAAATAATCACTTTATTATAACTTTATTTCAGTTCGTACAGAGTAACCTGAAAAAAACACAGTACACATAAATTTTTTAATTACTAAAGAAAATTTACTTAGCAAATGAACTTCTGTTTGTGTATGACTGTACCCTGGAGATTCAGTAATCCAGGACGCCTCGTACAAAAGTTATCTCTCTACTATATGTACCAAATAATCTGTCTGTTATTTTGGTCACCCCGTATAACCAACTAACTATAAAAATGGGAAAGTATATGATATGAAGGGATATTTCTTTACTGGAAGACATGATAAAGAAATATATGAATGCGATTTAATACAACCCAATATCCATTCTCTTAGTAAACATTGTCACTTGCGGTTGACTCTGACTTGTGAATTGTGGTCTACTCGGAGTAGAGAAAGTATCACTTCTAGTGATGCTGAGAATGTCTCTGTTCGAGTGCGAGTGGGTAGTGGATGCTTTCGGTATTGAAATCGAATCGAAGTTCATTGTTAAAAGATTGTTTTTGGTTTTGTCACGACCGAGAGTGTCCAGTGAAGATGTCGATGCATAAGGATTTTCTGTTGGGGTTGCAAAACTCGATCCCGATTTCAGTTTTAATTTGAGCCCCTGAAAGAATCCGAGTGAATGACGATTTTTTGTACGGGCCGCAGATAACGATTTGCTACCGTCACCAGCTTTCAGACGTCGTTTTACAGGGAATGTTTTGTTGCTATTATTGCGTCCTGTAGTGCTGCTACCACTTGTAATTCCGCTGCTAGAATAAAACATGTCATCACCGATACCACTGGGATCAGCCGCAATTTTTCCAGCAGTCTGCAACAATAAAATAGAAGAGCTGTAAATATTTAGCCTGTTTCGACTTCCTAAACCAGGGGTCGGGAACCTTTTTGGTCAAGAGAGTCATAAAATACAAATATTTTCAATTTCATTTCCGTGCGAGCCATATAACATTTCTTCACTTAATCAGGCCTGAAATGTTTACTCAAAAGTCAACACATACAATGTCAGTATACACTTAATGTGATTATCTGATGCTGCATGTAGTCGCTGCGGGCCTTGAACGGTTGCTCACATGCAGCCCAAGTTGAAATCTGCGATACTCATCGCCCTTTTTCGTTTAGGTATCTCCGTAGTGTTTTTAAAACTCTATCGCTTTGTGATGTCACAATATATGTTCCAGAATCCCCTTGTTTGTCATAATGCCTGTCTGGTAATTATCTTACATAACATAGACATGTGCTGGACGCGCCTTCTCAAACGTATTGGGAATTTCCTGCCAAATTTGGCTATAAAAGAGTTTGAAATCTCGTAACAATAGTAAGCTTAGTCTTGGAATATTAGATTTTTTTGGGAGCCATATGCCGTCACCAAAAGAGCCATATATGGCTCGCGAGCCATGGGTTCCCGACCCCTGTCCTAAACCATCAAGTCAATGCTCCTGAAACAAATAACTCGCTGGCTAATCACATTCCGGATATGGATTGGTAACCGGTGTAACCGACAGTGTTACGTCATATGATCCAAATGTGTTATCGACTTTTTATACCCGTGATAAATATGACAATCCTAAGAGCAAATCCCCAGTCGAACAAATCATTGGTACACTATCTTATGCTAATGTTCATGTCCCTTATGATAATGTAACATTATCCATAATTTGCGTTGCAATTGCATGCATGGAAAAAGATAGATTTGACTAAGAAACGAACTGTTTAAATAATTTATAAAAGTTTTCTATTTTAAATATTTCGCATTTCCGATTGGAGCATATTTCTCAGGGGAAATAAGATATTTGAAACATACTAGAAACTGAGCGGGACTTAGCTATATTTATAGTCTTTCTTGGCTTAGATATCAGGAAATCTGCTTTGTCTGGATTTTACGACCTAACATTTTCAAAGTAAATTAAAAGTTTGGTAGAATGACAATTTTTCAAAATACTTTCATTTGAAATGGGATTTTTTTATACGATAAATTTACAACCTATCGCTCAAAAGAAGGGCCTGTATGAGCAGCCATTGATATGAAAAATAAAATACTAGAATACCACATTACACCAAGATTTAAATTCCCATCTAACAAGAACGAACATTTTATTAAAATATAAAAAAGTGCAAGAAAATTCTACCTGTGGATTTTCTGAAGCATAGAGAGTCAAAACTTTAATATTGATTGTAGGACCCTGGTCATCTCTGATGAATTTAGTTAACTTTTCATCATTATTTTTTCGATATACTTCAACATATTTGTCAAGCAGGCATGCAACTTCCGAACAAGTCTTCCATTTTACATCTTCACCTTCCACTGAGACAATGATGTCTCCTTCCTTGATACCAAGGTCCTGTTATTCAAAAAAATGAAAGTTTGAGTCAGAAAAGCGCTTGGTTGACATAAAATGTACTGTCTACATGAGTATGAATATACCTTAGCCCTTTGGTTAGTTGCAACAGCTGTCGTTGGCGAGTCCCCTGAAATAGTAAAACCCCATCCATCAATCCCTGATGTAATTTTAACCGGTCTCGGTGCCGTGAATTTTTGACGAGCGGAGAAAACTGACAGTGGTCCCTAGAGTATAGAGAAAATTGGCATTAAAGTTAAAAAAGAATTCTATTTAAATTGGGCCAGGAAATAAGTTGGTTATTCACACAATCCAAAATAAAAGATGAAATGCAAAACACCTATTTACAGAAGGACCCTCCAAAAAATTTCTTGATTACTTTGACGAAAATGGAGTAAATTATTCAATTTTGTCTACACTTGAACTTCTGTTTGTGTATAATTGTGCAGTTTTAGTAACACTTTCAGTAATCTAGGATGCTCAGCATAAAGGAATGTTCTCTCCAGAAGAGGGTGTGCAACATTTTTTGCCGCGACAGTAACAAAAGAATTTATGAATTTTCACCACTTGTGTGCACCTGTTCAGGCCCAAACTCTTGGTTTAGAATTTAATGGGCTTGATGGGAAAAGTAGTCAAAAGGGCCGCATTGAATAACTTGGCGGGCCAGGCCGCCTGTTGCACGTCTCTGCACTAGAAAATGTTCCAAATTAAATGCATGATGGCAACCTTAAACGGCTTTAATATATAAAATATATTATGGAGCAATAAAATTTGAATATTGTTGCAAAATGCTAAGCGTACAACTTCTCAATGCATCAAGAGTTGGCAAATATTCAATCAACATACGTTTCATGATCAACTTACCAATCTCTTAAAAATATCTGTCACCTTCACTGAAGTGAGAATCGGTGGCCGAAGTTCCGTTTCCACATCTGCCAGTGCTGAGAATAAAATTTGGACTCATTAAAACATTATTTACAAAACAATAAAAGTCAAAATGAAAAAACAAAAATATAATGATCAGATACAAGCGTACATTATACAGAAAAATTATGATGATGTCACATAGTTGAGGAGTATAGAATATATATTTTTGACATTCCGGAATATCTTTCAATGCCGCAGCTTACATAAAAAATGCATTCCTAAAAGGAATATAAAGGGTAAACAGGATAACAAAGAAATTGAAAATCGTTTCCCCTTTTCCTTCTAAAATGAAACTCCAAGTTAAATATTTTTAAACCGCGAGAAGGCCCATCCTACTTTTTATTACCATTCTTCAGACATTCTTTCAATTCTAGCAAACACTTTTTGTAAGTACGTGCAGTTTTAATATCACCATTCAACAAACAATAGTCTGCGTAATAACACAAATACACATTGCCTCTTGAAAGATGACTTTTATTTACTCTTTTTCTAAATAAATTGACGAATATTTAGATAGTGGTTACAATGTAGGTGAGGCATTATTTGTATTTCTTTCCTTCCCTTTATGGAGAAATAGCATTGGAGGTGAATAAAAAGTTTGATAAAACCTAATTTGGAGAAGGAAAAAATTGAAAAAATTTGGTACTTCCGTAGTATGTGTACCAGGTTAGGGTTGGGCCATAATTCTATTCCGATTTTCCATATTTTTGTTCTATTAAGAGTTCGCGGACTATCTGTGTTAGCCAAGTGAATCTACCCTGTGCCCATAGGTTTCAGTCTATTTACGCAAGTTAATGTAAAGGAGGCGAACAAAATTAGTTACCTCCATATTGGTACACACACTTTCAGTGCACCCAAAATTCAGCACGAACATATCAAAATTAACTTTGGGTTACTTACGGACTATGTCTGGAACATCTATGACTTCAAAAAAATCACTGTTTTCTTCGCTATAGCTTGTATCAAGATTAATCTTCTTTTCTAATGACCGTTTGTGAGCAACATTTACGAAATTCTGTAGACAATAAAGATTATTATTGATACGTTTAAATTTATTGATAAGAAAAAGTTATAAGACTAATTAAAAAAAAACATTTTATTAATTTCACCTGCATTTTGTAGTAAATTACTCAAAAAGAAACTGATATTGAACTTTACATTGTCAAATTTTCATAATCAGAAATACAAGTACTTCAACTATATTTTGCATTTTAACGGTGCTCACATATACAGTTGGTGATATTCATTCGAATTAAACGCCATAAAAGATAAATTTTGCGATGAACTAATCATTTTTGGAGAAATTGTGCAGTATAAATGTGATTGAATCAAAATGAATCATAATTGCTAACCATCTAAAATTGGTTAATCATTCCCGGACCAAACAATAGGCAGCTGGTATAGCAATACAGAATGAAAAAAGTTCCTATAGGAATAAGACTCGATGGAAAATAAAGAAAAATAATAATAAATTCTTCCATCTGTGAGTACAGAGAATTCAAGATACAGAAAAAGGCGTTCATTTCTCAACGACAAGAATTTAGCAAAACCAAACTGGCAATACATACCTGCAATGTATCAACTTTATTCAATGACTTGCACATTTTTATCAAACTGCTTGCTTTTTCATGCAGAAATATTGCTTGATCAAGATGGGCCATACCTGAAAATAATTTAATATATGAATGTCATTTAATGGAATCTGTCTATACACAGTGCTTGTGATGGCGTATTGGTTAATGCATTAGACTTCGCAGGTTAAAATCTTAGGTAGACATCTAATGCCCGCCACATTACCTAGGGTGTAATAAATTGCGTAGGCAATGTTGACCCAGAAAAATTCCGTTCCTCACCTAGCCTTTTTCTGAAGAATTCGTAATCTTTTCGGGTCTGAATATTTGATTGAATAATTCGGAATAAACGTTTTTAAAGTCGTTGAAAATAAAAAAGAATTATCACCAAGGCAATAAATAAACAGTTAACACTGTTAAAGCAAAAAACATTTTACCAAAGTGCTGGTTTTATGATGATGGTTCTTAAATAAAATAAGAAATGTACGGTAAGTACCCCTTTTTATAACCTATTTAAATGCAGTTTCTCATTGAAATTTATGACTCTGCACTAAACCTATTTAAACAATCATAAAACTTCGTTTGAACAAATGACAAGGAATGTACGTTTGTTCAATAGGGTTGGGAATTTCGTTCCTTCAATAATAAACACTCTAGACCACAAATAGAATTTGAAAAATCTGATATAAAAATATAAACCATCAGAAAAAATGAGATTAAAACGAATGCAAAGAAGTAAGTATCTGAACGCAGCCAAAATCATTTTAGATATTATTTTCTAAGAAAAAGTGCATTGTTACAATTACAATGCGAAACCTGTCAATTGAATATACTTTAAATCAGGGGTGTGCAATCTTTAATGCAGGAGGGCCAGATACAAATAACTGGGTGAAACCGCGGGCCGCACTTTCATTAGCATATGCTTCCTAGTAGTTGCAAGCACAAAATTCTGGGGTATTGATCTTATGACATGCGTTGTTTGCTTCACACAAGCTAGATGTTAGCACATTGTGACACCATAGACATAGATAATAAATTAGACTCAGGTATAGGCTTTGCAACGCAAAGGAATTAATTGCACGTGCCAGATTAAACTAAATTAAAACCTTGCACACCATTCAAAATTGGCACTTCGCCGCAGGCCGCACAATTTTTCCTCGCTTGGCCCGCATGCAGCTTGCAGACCCCTACTCTAAATCAAAATTAATTCTGATTATCACCGTTAACCATACATTTCATATTTCCTTAATACACAGGAAATATTGCGACTATCTGTTATAAAACGGCTTCTAATATAAACTCTAATAGCTTCCTATAACTACAATGAAAACTAATTGATTGCCTCGAATAAGCAATCCCCTATATTACACAATGAAATTCTAAAATTTCAGTTCCTAATTTGATACACATAATTTAGTTGTGAAGTCAATTCTCAATATATATTTTAACCAGGTTTGTTATATTTTAATCAATAATAATGGACTCCCCGCCGTCGTAGGGTGGTTCACGTAAACGCTGGTCAATTACGGCTTCCTTCCCCATCAAGTCCAAGCAGTTGAAAACAAATAACTGGCTAACTGATCCCATACCCGACATGGACTGGTAATAGGACGTGGTTCGCCATATGATTGAACCGTCTTATCAGCTTTCCTCTCCTCAGGATAAATATGTCTATCCCATCATAAACAATGAAACCACCAACCTAATCTTTTCCTATCCTCTTTCCTTTTCACAACATTTTCAGTTGACGGAATATTTTCATCATTTTCTGACTTGAGGTAGAATGAAGACAGAAGATCTGATATTTCTTCAACTTCAGCTTTATCTAAAAATAACAATTTAAAGAATGAATGTATTGTAGAAATTAAACTGAATGTATGCAAAAAAACACATGAAAATATAGATAACATCTTTTCAATTTAACAAATATGAATATAATTTACAAAGAGGGAATTTCAAAATCGATAATATTGAATATTCTAATACACTTGACGGGTAATTAAAGAATGTATATATTTATCTCTTAAAGCCAATCTGTGTACCTATGTACATTCAGGTAACCTTGGATTAGTGGATAATAGATTTAAAAATTGATTTTCTTTCAATTTCATTCTAGAAACAGAATTTGATGTAATATTTTGAACTAATGGATAATTTCTTAGATTGACTATCCATATGCACATTTGACATTAGTTATTGTATAATATATCAAACCTAGTTAAGCATAAACTGATGGTGTTATATACATGGCCAAATATAAACTCATAGTACATTGTTTAGTTCTGCTCTATTTCATTTAAATCTTCATTATGCGCTGTTAACTATTTTTGTTGTTGTGTAAATAAAAATGGGTTATATTTCACATATTAATGAAATAATTTAGATAGAAAACATGAAAAAAACTAAAATTTGTGTCAACATAGGAATAAATGTATTGACAAAAATAAAATTAAAAATAGCATATTTTCAGTATATATGTGGAATCTAGTTACATTACAGCCAATGACGTAATACAGAGAAAAAAACGTAAGAACTGCGTCTGAATACAATACCATGATGAGTAATTGTTTAATAATGGTGTAGGATAGATGAATTCCATCACAATGGTGGCTGGTCTACGCACAAGACAAATATGACTAATACAGTAAATAAAACCAATGTTGCAACTTGCAATTATCTTGAAATAGTTGTCTGCAGATAATTTATCTGTACTCCCGTAGTATATGTACCAGGTTAGTGTTAGGCCATAATTTTTTTCCAATTTTCCTTATTTCAGTTCTATTACGAGTTTGGGAACTGTCTTTGTTAGCCAAGTGAATATATCCCCTGCCCATAGGTTTCAGTCACTTTATATAACTTGATGTAAAGAAGGCGAACAAAATTAATTACATCCATATTGGTACACACACTTCTGGAGCGCCCATTATTTAGTTCTGCTCTATTTCAATTATGCTATCATTATGCGCTGTTAACTATTTTTGTTTGTGTGTAAATAGAAAAGGGTTATATTACATGAACATATAATGGAATAATTTAGAAAAAAAGGTGAAAAAAACTCAAATTTGTGTCAACATAGGAATTAAGATATTGACAAAAATAAAACAAAGTATAGCGTATTTTCAGTATACAGGCAATCGAGTTACAGCCAATGACGTAATAAAGAGAAACAAACGTAAGAATTGCGTTCGAATACAAAGCCATGATGAGTAATTGTTTAATAATGGTGTAGGATAGGAGAATTTCATCACAATGGTGGTTGGTATACGCACAAGACAAATATGACTAATACAATACACCAACGTTGCAATTATCTTAAAATATTTGTCTACAGATAATTTATTTTTAAATATTCATCTGATGAGCATGGTTTAGTAATGATTCATACTATAACCATGCTTGTATGTATCATGAAAAATAGAGAGATTTGGAAAGCACAGAAAGCAAAGGGTAAATGTAATTAAATCATGCGAAAAATTACGAAGGATATGATTTCATCCCGTAAACCGCAAATTCAAGTTTTCACAGAAACGAAGACTAGGCCTATAGAATTAGTAGGCTTAAAAAAGTACTGTTACAAGATAACATAAAAAAGACAATTTTGAGTTAAACTCTTACCGACTTGGTCCAACAATCCAACAGAAGTGTAATAATGAGCTAATGCCTTATAATGTTGAGATTTGACATCGACCATGTTTATCCAAGAATTAGGAATTGTTTCACTGACTGGAGGAACAGTCATAGCCGTGTGAACGAGAGTGTATTTTTCTGCAACCTTCATAGAGGAAATATATTGACTTTAATGTTATTCCAGAAAATCGGTTCATATTTTCATATTTTGCTGGTAATTTTAGGAAAAATATATCACAACGAACAGATTTCTTGAACATCAAAGTAAATGGTCATATCTAGGGCTGGGCATTTCGAATCGAATATTCGAATCGAATCGAATAGTAAATTATTCGAATCGGTTCAGAGCTAAATTTCGCCATCTTGTTTTTATCTTTCCGCTAATGGTCGAGGTGAATTCCCCCATTTTTTTTCATTTGAGTCATATTTTTTCAACGGAATTCTAACATATGACTATTTTCTGTAGTGAGTTATTGATAAAACGTGTTTGTTATTCTGTGTGAACGCTTAGTAATCTATCTGAGTGAATCATTCTATGTCTTCAGTAATTCATTTGTTGAGAGGACCAATTACTATAATAAAGTCGCTTACAATTATATATTTTCAAGTATTCGAGATTCGATTCGATTCGAAAAAATTATTCGATTCGATTCTGAAATCACAAGGTATTCGAAAATGCCCAGCCCTAGTCATATCCTAATTTACGTAAGAGGTTCCAATAAAAGCGATTCCTTCTTGATTTCAAAATCAATTATCAATGAGGGTCATTGAGAGCTGACTTAAATCAACTTGTTGTCAGTGTTCCCTCTACAAAGCAAACAAAACCTCGTTTTTCATTTCCGAAAATTTAATCAGCTAGGCAAAAGATGCTCAACTATAAACTAATAACTCATTAGCATGAGCGACTCATTTATCACTTATCAATGATAAATATACACATTTTTTTAAAACTTTGAAATGCGTCACTAAGCTTCGTATAAAATTACATTGAAAAAGGCTTTCATTAATAGATGAATTACCATTAAAATTAGGCAAAAACTAAATAAGCCGAGTAAATTCAGACCTAAGCGAGATCGGTTAACTAATATGAAGACAATTACACTATAATATGATTTTTTGGGGTAAGCGTAAAAAAATTTCATTGGATCAACTATTTCATACACTATATACAACAATCATATATCGAGAATTACTAGTATAAAAACGATTGAATATCAAAATAAAACAACCGATCATGTCAATAAAAGGGAATGGATTAGTATGATAACATATAATGATGGGATAAAGAAGTCTAGCAAATCCTACATTAATCCCATGAATTCTACTAAGGGTATAATTTTTAGATTAAGCATTTTAAAAATACAATAATGAAAACTGATCTGACTAGCAATCATGTATAGTAGCCTACTGAAATAAATAATCTCCAAACAAATTGTTACAAAGACTTCTATCAAAAGAAACATGATATGACCCCTCCAATGTTTGAAATACTAATTTGTTGACCTCAATAACCTTTATATTAGCAAATTCAGTAATATTCACTAGAATTTTTTAAATAAAAGACTGACATTAGATATTAATACAATTAAGTGTTATGTAATTCCAATTTTAAAAACGATACTAATCTAATCATCATATATCAAAGTGTATATGCCTATATGTTGTACAAGAATTGAAGACTGGTATTTATGTAATAGAATACAAAGAGCATCATGTTGATTGATACATTATAGTGAAACTGGAATCTATTTTAGAGAGTTAGGCACCCTGTAAAAGTGCCAATCCTACACATGTGGGAGCAAGCAATGGCCGGTTGAAGCGTTAGACTTAAACTGTGTTGGTATCAAATGTTAATACTGGGGTTCTAATCTCGCACCCACCACCTCACCGAGGGTGTGATAAATTGGGTAGGCAATGTTGAACCAGAAAGATAGGGGTCCTCCCAAAAATAGTAGCCAGGATCTTTGTTCGGAGCGAGGGACGTACCCAAGGGGGGTTTTGTGGGTCAGAAGTGTAAAAAAAAACATTTTTCTGTATCTTACAAAGCAATTTTACATAGCTTAGCTGTTCGGTGTAACATGGCGATTAAAAATTTCAGATCCATACATGATAGTGACATGCTAATAAAATAGGAAAATAAATCAAAATAATTCAATTACTAGGTTGTTATACTAGTTATGATTAACAGTACAAAATTTAAAATATTTTACATGACCTACCATTGCAGCTTGTTGTGCCAGGGAAATACATTTCCCGAGTTCAATTTCAAATCCACCCAGAAGAGTTCTTTCAAAAACGCATTCTTGAGCTTGTGCAAGCATAAGTTTTGTCATGACAGCCAAGAAGGCGTGACTGAGATCAGTACAAGGGGCGTGGCTGAAGTTGAGTCGAACATAATTGAATGCTCCTGAAATATTTTGTTGAATGATTAAAATTTGTGAGATCTGTAATAATAATATTCAATAAATATGTAATTGATAAAAAAACTTTGCTAAATTTTGAATGTTCTGAATCTAAAACTTACCTAAATTGGTAAAAACACGAAAAAGTACACATAATAATCAAATATAGAGCTATTAATAAATTTTGAATGTAAATAAAAAAGGGTTCCTTTGAAAAAACAGTACAATAAAGAGGTGACAGTATTGTTACTAATTCATTTCAATGTTAATAAATCAGCAATACAACCATAATTTAAAAAGCTGTATGGAATACAATGACAAAAAAAAATAACAATCACAAGTCATTTGATAACAATTTGATTCAAGCATTAGGATAATGTTACAATTCAAATAACAATAGAATTTTGATTTAAATGTAAACTATCTCTGAGACAAAGAAGCTTCAAAAATATATTGGCGTCTAGAATTGTTTGTCACTCCGTTTTGCTTATTTTTAAAAATCGTATTTTCATTTTCTTACAACGCTTATTTATGCCCTTCTCTCCAAACCAGTGGTTTTCAAGTGGTTCATCAGATTTGATTGCCATATTTTGGATATTTACATTCGAAACTTTTTATTTATTTCACTATTTTTCACCTTACTATCTGTTATTTGTAGCTTATTATTAGTCATTATTTAAGAGGTGGGGAGCGAGATTTGACAAATCAGCTCAACAAATTTGAGAACCACTGCTCTAAACATTCATATAGAAGCAGCCAATAATATCTGGTGATTTCTGAGAAGCTACCATTATAAGGGATGATTAGAAAATTTTTCAGTTCGGCATGGTCTACCATATTTATCACACCCCTTAACCCTCTGCTATATTTACACAGTTCAGTCTAATAATGCTTTATTAACCGTCAGGCTCAGCCCGAAATATTTGAATTTACAAAGTATATTGTGCCCAAAGACTATTTTTGATCTTCCGAGTCTTTAGCTTCGACTGATTTTTGTGATGATAACATAAATCTGGTTAGATACCAATCTAGTACTAAAATGTCACAGTGACATCAAAGAATTTTCTGATTATATTTTTCAAATCTATATTGGTTGTCTATTGGTCGCAATCATAAGAAAAATTTATAGAACATAATATACGGTAAAAATATGCAGCGATATAAAAATGGCAGTAATTGTTGAAATTATGAATTATTTTCTACAAATATTCTTATCTTATCTTAGTGGTGAAAAGTGAAAGAGCTCTAGTTGCTAAACAAATACTGCTAGCTAATGATTAATTTATATAGCGTGAGAAAATAATTGAAATCTTAGTTGAAAATAACAAGATTAAATTTGGCAAAAATGATCATCTATTTTAGTGTATAGAGCGGTGGCTTTCAACTAGGGTTCCGTGGCACTACCAGCTACAGTCCAGGGGTTTCACAAGTTTACATTCAATCCAAGAGTTTATATTGTTGTTTATATGTATATTGTTTAAATATAATCCAACGCCAATTTTTCCCGTTTTTTATTCTTATTATAAAAAATCTCAACATGAGTACTTTAAATTTATTTCATTAATTAATCAAATGATATTTTTTATCTAAGTCAAGGGCTCCACCAAGGAGGTTCATATTTGGACAGAATTCAAAAACACTAATCTGTTTATATAACATCAATTACATACCTGCAGCATGTTCATATGCCTTTATTGCTTCATCTATTCCGGCACGTTTGCATCTTTCTGCTCTGGTTCCAATCTGAGTGTATAATGCCGCAACATTGAATAATATGCTGGCTTTCTCAAGCGACATGGATTTTTGGGTGGATGGTATTCCAGTAATGGAGTCATACCTTAAACGAAAAAAAATATGAGAAAAGATAATGATTATCTAATGAAGTAAGAACATAATAGGAAAGCTGGATTATATTTTAAAACTTCAGTGATGACTCAAAATTTTTTTTAAAAATTATTTTTTTTTTTCGAAAGTCTCCCTTGCTTCTGATTGAGTGCGCATGACCTAGTTTTGCGCAAATTTTTCCAAAATATAAAAATGAAAATTAGCCAAATTTCAGAATAAAGGCTGAAAGTTGTATCTTTATTAAAAAATGATATTATTGCTTTATTAGATAATCTACAAAATAAAAACTTAATTTATGACTTTTAATACAATTTTATTTTTTTTCGCATTACGTTTTTTATATTTTTAAATTGCGATTCTATCTTTTTTACATGTGTGTGTAAACCATATTATAACAATTAACATTAATAATGTTTATTACATATCTATACACATGCTAAAGTTGTAACAGGCTAAAGGCTCTTTAAAGCAGGCAGGGTACTCGAAACATACTTGAAAACACTCATTTTTCTACACAATTGATTTTTCGGAAACAGCACAGACTTAGTTAGAATTGTGCTAGGTACTCAGCATAGAAGATAAAGTAATCGAACAAAAATCAGTTGAAAGAAACAAGATAGATTTATTTAAAGACTTTTATCATTTATGGAATTTAGTAATTTCACGCTTGAATGGACATTCAAGAATGCTCGACCGTAAAATTTAATTGCCATTTCCAAACTTCTTAAACCATTGAAAGACCTAATCCTTTGTCACAACTTAACGATGCCATAAATTCTTTAGCATTGCCTCAACCAATTACAACTACATATTTCTATCGTGACGCAAAAAATATCGAATCATATCAGAAAAAAATTCTAAAACGCTCCCATACTTAGGGACCCTATACCTGGCCAAGCATGGCCCAATATTATAAAAAACTTGCAAACATATTCGATATCCGCTATATATGCAGTAACACTGATGTTTTGACATTGCTTTGGTTACTGTTATTGCTGTATACAATGTCATATAACATGAATAAAAAATATAAAAAATTTATGGAATGCGGCGAGGCCGTAAGTCAAGTGTTCTTGAGTATGAATGGCTATTGGACAGCAAATATGATAATGTAGTAAAAATAGAGGGTCAATTTAGAATTACTCATTTAACCAAAGTTATGAATACGATATAAGAAATAATTATAAATTAACTAACTAATATTTTACGACATACCAATGGAAATGTATTCTGAGTTGAAGATTAGGTGGGAAAAATCTGTAGTCGATGAAATAAAGTTGACTAAAATATTCCAACAGAAGAGATACGCCATCATTGGAACGCGCAGGTGTGCGTATCGAGTTACGTAAATCTATCAAATCGGCAATTTCGTCGTCAAAATTGTCTGGATCTTCGCTGTAATGCTCGAGGATAAAATCCTATAAGTAAAAAGCAATAAACGGAGATTTAATAATGCCAATAGAGATTTCAAATAGGTGTAACTAAATCCAATACCAAAAAGAAGAGTGACAGAGAACATTGAATTTGCAAAAAACCTTGCACAATGCACATTATGAACCCAATAATAATTTTAACAATGTAATAATAGTATGCAATATGGTTAGCAAAGCCAATTTTGCTCAGCAGATGCATTTGAATTATTATTTCCTATTAAAGGAAGCAAGGAACTGCAAAAACCTGGTATAGAGATGGCTTATTAATGTAAAATAAGACTAACAAACTAAAAAGTGAAATCATAAAACTAAGAGACTTTTTGTTTTGAAAATTTAATACTTTACAGTTGTAATAATGAAGTGAAATAAGCAAAAAAATATTACTAATTCATTGATAATGAAAGCAATGTTGATCATCAATTTACTGAATAAAAACAATTGTTTTAAATAGCATCAAAAAATCAATAAAAAGTGAAATTTATATAAACTATTGTTAGGATGTTTAAAAGTTTTATTGTCTGGCACAACTCCAATTAAAAAAGTATAAAAGTGTATAAAAAGAATATAGAATATACAGACATGATACACTACAACAGGTAATAGGATCGTAGTAATGCCTTATGACATTACAACATAGTAAAACTAAAATAATACTATTACCAATGATATAATTATAAAAAAATTGGTTACATCATGTGGAAATAATTATAGCTATAATGTACTAGGTCCTCTGAACTACAATTTTAATTGAACAGATTATCACTAAGCGTTGAACATAATTCAATTAGTCATTATAATTACAGTTATACTCCTGTGTAGTTATTAATACCCCATGATTTTATATCGAGGGTTTAAGCATGATTTATGTGTAAAAGAATGATTAAAGTACTATTTATGTACTTTTTACATTGTTTAGAAAATCAACCATCCTACCTTCAAAGGTTGTGTAAAATCAAGTTCTTTTGTTTCCTTCAACCCAAGCGAAATCATCGCCATGCTTTGAGTCTTCGCGCTGCAAAATGATTTAAACAATAAATAATAACACTCAAGGCTCAAGCTCATAATAATACAGTGCCACTCCAAAAACAAGAACCCAAGTGATTTGAAACATATTCCAGAGAGAACATAATTTTTGTGCAGAGTGTCATGAGGCTACTGAAATTTTGGGTACAAACAAGTGTTACCGTTACCGGTAAATAATTTTAAAATTATTGTAAAATGTTTTCGGATAACCATATATATTTAGTATATTTTAGACAGGTATTTCAACCAATCTTTTAGTTTATTTTTCTGTTACAATAATACTTCAAGTTCAAACCATGTACAGTGAACTAAAATTAATGTAGTCAATGTGTCTATACAACAGCAGACATACAAAATCAGTGAGACAGTAATTATAGTTTACAAAGAAACTAATTTGCACACAATAACATAAATTAGCCTAATCCTACTTGAGATAGTTTAGTCACTTTATTTTAGTAGACAATATAGTGAAAAAAAGGTTCCCAACAAAATTAACTGAGTTCATTTTCATACAGAACGCTGTTTACCGTACATTAAGCGCATTTCAATAAACTACCGGTATATATTTGTAGGAACAATATTGAACCAAAATTGCCATAAAATCCATTATCAATGTGTTATACTAATAATACAAAAAATGGAATAAATATTCATAAAACAATGAATACCGTAGTATATCAGGAAAGAAGGTATGGTCATGAACAAAGTCCGATTAAATTTAGTTGGGCGAAATTTTCTCCATTAGTATCAGTGTTAAATGGAGATCGAATGAAAGAGTCACGAAGCCATTCATACAAAGACAAAATATTGTACTTTTGCTTGGCATAGTTCTGATAATAATTGAAATTACTTAATTAAATCAATAAATATTTGACTTTAAACACTTCTAATTATCAAAGCAAATTATTGGTGTCGCAGGTGATAAAAAAAACTCCATTAAATGAGGCGGAGAATCTAATTTTGTGATCCGAAACTTGATAACAATTCGCCAGACAGCATTAACTCGAAATAATGATTATTATAATTTCGTAAAGTTTTCAATCGGTCAAGCATGGGGCATTGGCATCTGGACAGTGGTTTAACCATGAACACAAGCATTATAGAACAAGTCTTTATAGAAGTTTTCAATTTTGAATAAAAATTTTATGGAGAAAATATTTATAGGGAAATATTAAAATAGAGATAAAAAGAGACATCCTCGAGGCTAACTACAAACGCCATCTTCTAACAAATTTGATGAGAATAAACATGTCTGTCCAAGCCTGATCATATTCAGTATCTAACATAATATTCACAGATCATGTCCAATAGTACATGATATATAACGTTGACAACAACGTGTTAATTGTTTGAAATATGGACTAATGAAAGCACGTGAATTATCTAAATATTTATATACTACGACAGCGACAGCGTTATCAGCGTTATCGTAAACTTGAATAATAAGTGATTATATTATATTTGACCGGTAGTAAAAAATGACACTATCAGCAATTTAAGGTCACAAATGATTCAATAACTAAAATATGTGGTGAATTTCTTTTCAAGTTTCAATGTGAAACATATCTAAGAGTTGAGTCAATTAGGTAGCCTATATTGACAGGCTGGGTATAAAACCATATAAATAAACAATAAACCACTGATGCGAACTATACTCAAGTATTTGAGCATAAAATTCGGAATGCCATCCAGCATTGCATATTTCACTTACAGTATTTAGCAGAATATTTTATTATGCAATAATGGAGAGGTCATGTTATATTGTCCCGATAAAATTAAATAATGTTTACTACCCTAATAATAAAATAAAAAAGAATGTTTTGCAAAATAAGAGGATAGGATAACCCAAGTACTGGATTCATGATATTATTTTTTAATATATTTATATTCATCTTTACTACAACATATTTATACGCTTTTAGATAGGAATAAGTCTTATTTGAATAAATATGGAAAATTTAAATAAAACTTCAATCATGATGTATTTTAGACTCATAATAAGGTACTCCCATAGTATATGTACCAGGTTAGGGTTAGGCCATAATTTTATTCCGATTTTCCTTATTTTAGTTTTATTAGGAATTCGGGGACTGTCTGTGTTTGCCAAGTGAACATCCCCCCGGCCCATAGGCTTCAGTCCCTTTACACAACTTGATGTAAAGTGGCCGAATAAAATTAGTTATCTCCATAATTACACAATACTTCTCCATAATAAAACTGGCTATGATGACATGGTACAGAATTTCAAATATTTGCATGAATGGCTTTAAGCTAGCTTTAACATGAGATTAGATTTATGGTTTGTAGGATGATGATAATCTTATTACAAACCAAATAATGATTCGGGCAGCGGATTTGAATGACATAAGTATAACCATGTAAGTCATGATCAGAAGAGGATTAAAATATAATCGCTGTTTGCAAAAAGTTTATCCAATTAGTCTAAAGAAGGGAGAATATTGCTTGGTCATACAAATAGGAATTTTTTATATTCTAGTGCTGAATATTTTGCGGAAAAAATTGTTTATCAAAAATGTTATCGAACATGGGTGTGTGTGGTGGCATGACGGATAGAGGGTTCGATGTAACTGGGGTGACATCTCGGGTTTAAATTCCATGCCTACCCTACCACATTACCGGGAGACTAATATATTGGACAGGCAATGTCAAACAAAAAATATTCCGATCTTTCATAAAATAGTAGTTATATATGCATTGTTACATAACAATGGCTGCTTGTACAGGAATTAGTTCGAAGTGAACAAAATATAAAAAAAAAAAGTTGATTTGACCAAACTACAATATTTCTGTGTGAGAACGTTTCTTAAATAAATCAAACAGCTCTCACCTTTCATTTTGATATGGTGTCAAATGGCTGTTCAACAAACTTAGTTCATCCTTGAGCAATTGTAAGTTTGAATTGAAGAAACTTAATTCCAAAGCGACGGTGTCTTTCACTTTATTATTTGATGTTGCACTGAAATGATATATATTATTTAGCACATTAAGTTTATTTGATTTCAACAACATAATAACAAGCATCCTACTCTGACAATACAAATTTAGATTTTTATCATATTCAAACCATTTATCACGCAGCTATCACATACCCATTTGCAGCAATTGGACATGTTGTATCAGAATGTGAACATAAGTTAAGCAAACACAAAATTTGGAATTTACAATGTTATGAGAAAATTTATACCAACGGAATTTCAACTGCAGATGACTAAGCAAATAAGAATATTTATCAAAACAAAATAAGGGCACAGTGACTAAGAGGTGAAAGCAGTACTAGACTTTATAGCCATGATGGCATTTCAGGTACAAATTCCATACCAACGACCTCATCTGGAGCAGGAGTGGGCAGGGTTTTTGAACCAGGGGCCAAACATTTTGCCCACCTAGACTGGCGGGCCATGTAAGTGTGACGCAAAAACATTTTATGAACAATATTTACAGTGCTACAGAAGCAGAACTGGAAAACAATAAGCCTCATGCCAACTAAATTTAATCGCAATCTCAACATATTCCTTGAGTTATTTTTTAGCTAAAACATAAAAATTTGGTTTTAGTTTGGTTGTGACAGAACCAGGCGGGCCAGATTGAATTACCCAATGGCCCGTGGGCCTCAGTTTGCCCATTTCAGATCTAGAGTGTAATGAATTGGGTGGGCAATGACGAACTGAAAATATTACATATCAGTGGATGCATGCACAGAGTCTTGTTCAGGGCGAAAGTTGGCTAAATACGTTATATGAAAAATCATCCCTTTAATGATGGATCGCTCTCATAATTGCCTCCTATTTCCAATAGATGGGCAATAAGTAAATGACCATTCAATGTCATTTAAAACAGGTAAATATAATTCAGTAATTGTTTGTAATATTCCATACTTGTATAAATTTTCTGCTCCTGCCCGCAATCTCATCTGTTTATTAAGTTGCTGATTAAGTAACGATCTTTCTGATTGAATTTTACTTCTTTTTGTTACAAACATGGGATTGCTACCCTGAAAATAAATTTAGCACATAAAATTTTAATTTAAGAGGATATATACATAATTGTATATGTTACTGATGAACTAATTGTATTCCAAGGTTTGAGAAGTTAAAGTGTTTTGAAAGTCAAGAGTTTGAAATCCATTTCAATTTCTTTGTCAAAATACTTTTACTTTAATTTAACATCTTGGTCTAATGAGAAATGTGGTACTTTTTAATGCTGCCACTAAAATTTTACGTGGGATGAAGTGAAAAATTTTTTCAATCGGGCCAATGTAGCTTAAGCCGCAGAAAGCTATCACTTTTGGTCAACCGAACAGCAATGAAAAAAAGTAATCATGAGGATTGACAGATTCTGAGATTTTCCAACAAGCTGGATTTCTAGAAGTGTTTATTATAAATAGACTAATTCTTTGACCAAAATCATAACAATTGAAATATAACGTTACTCCTACATTAATGAATGTTCTAAGTGCAAAAAATTGTATTTACCTTTCGAACGCCACCAGCCCTGGACGGCGAACGGCCAATAACTTCCATCTTGTAATTCCTAAAAGAGGGATACCGCCAGCCTCAAGTTACAGAATGTGCAAAAAACAACAAGCTTTTATATCCCACGAATGAGTGATTACACGGAATAATGACGTAAGGGGTTACTCCTCCGTATTTATAGCGCTTCAAAACTGCTTGACCACAGAAAAGAAAAAAATGCGTTCGCTGGTGCATGACGAGCGGTAATGCTGATATTTGCAAAAGACCTTCATCGTTTTACGAGATTTGCTGGGCGGTGGATGTCCCCCTACCCCAAGCATCCTTGTATAACTCTGTAACAATGACCAACCAGGGATAGTAAAGGTGACGCAACAAGAAAAATTTAGAAGCCGCTCAGACACTTTCTTAACTAAAACAGATTTTCGGCGCATTTGCCAGTTTTTCCTGTGTCGTAACTTTACGTATAATTCAATTAGTTGGCGATCACTTAGTCTTCAGAATAGTTTCAGTCGAGATAGACTTCGCTTAAAATTAGTAAGTAATTTATCAAGGCAGCTGTTTGAATATTTTCAAAAGTAACATTGTCATTTTAAAGACGTATAGCCGTTTACACGCTCTCGCCGTAAATATATACAACTACAAATTATATATTACAAATTATTGTGATTCGGAAATATTTGATATCAACTGTCTTATCTCTTTCAAGTTTTTATTGTGGCCACCCCTCACAATGACCATAACAGGTTGACAGCTGGGCTGTTCTTCAAATATGTTAATATGCATCATCTATACTTCCAGTAAACAATATCATTTTCCTCAAGAAGATACAGCACTTGTTGTGTATTTCAAATTACCAACATCTACTCACTCTCTGAATAATCCAAGTTATAAAGATAATGATTTAATTTTCCATGATAGCAATAAACTGAACATATATAAGACACAACAGCTCTGACACATGACGACCTCATTTTCGTAACTTCGTGGCAAAAGTTGACAGCGATTTGATTAGTATATAGAATATCTCGAATGTCATTCAGGATAACTTATACAATTTCGATATATTGTTGCCATATCATTCTCATGTATGCATGCATTAAATAAAACTATACATAATATTTAATTATTAATATGCTTGAATCCCAATTTGGCTAGGTACCTAATAGATCAGGGATGGCAAACCTTTTTCAATGAATGGGTCAACAATTATATTTTTATCGCAGAATAGAAAAGAGTGGGTCACAGATATTCAATCAATGTTTGTATCTATAAGAAACTTCTGAAACAAATATTATAAGCTTCTATTGGTGTTGGTGTAGTTCTGGGCTTTACTTATGCAACACTTCTCTCAGGGACTTTTTATGGCACTTGATTTTATGAAATTAGAGTACGAAAACACACATAGGAATTTACAAAAACGTTTAGGATGATGCGGCAAATTATTTCACGGTTCCAAAGAGTTTGGTACAAATTCCACTCTGATAGTGGTATATTTTTTGATCAGCTTTCAACCACATTAAGGCTTTTCACACTGCCCCATTGTTATTTCAGATTTCTAGGTTTTTATTTCAAGTCTGAAATATTTTCTTTTCTCAACCGCATTGTAGACGAGAAACTAATAAAATTCAAAGTAGCATCTAGTTCTCGTATAACCAATATATAAGACAGTTTTCAGATGCACTTCCGAAAGAGACAAGACGTTGCGAGAATTAAACATCAATTGCATTGCTGTGACATAAACGATGTCAGAGATAATAGCTGAATAACGGTACACAGCGGTACAGACACGAATTGAAGATTGGGGGTTTCGAAAATTACCTTACCAGCCTGGAAATTAGCAATTTGAATATGAGCAATCACAGCCCTGACTTCCCAACTGACGGTACATTATAATAATTTAGTTATTGTTAGGTTAATTAAAGGCAGGTTTTACCAATTTTTATCACTGATCTGTTAGCAGTTTTTATTTTATTTCATTCGTGCCTTGGCGAGTCACGAATAAAACGCGGTGGGTCACTTTGTGACCCGCGGGTCAGTGGTTCGCCATCCCTGCAACAGATGAATGACGTTGTATAGGGCGTTTCTACAAGGTATTTTGGGTGTAAGGAATCCAGTTCTAAGAAACACATGAATTTTCCCAGGTTTGGTTTTCAAAATTTTTAAAAAATATGATAAACGTAGCTGCACCTAGCACTATTATTGCAATAAACGAGATTCACACCATGAAACGGAGATATGGTTTTTGTCTTAGTCTGGGCTGAGATTATTTACGTAAATATTTAGACAAAAGATGAAACAGTCTTTAAAGATGATAGCAATATCATAAATGTGTTTTTCTTTGTAGCATTAATATTTGTCCCACAAATTATCGGCAGAAATATGTGTTAGATTTACATCCGCTAGGCGACGCAATAGGAAAGTGATGAAGATGCATTAATGTCCTTTTCGATGATTATAGGAAACGCTATAGTAGTATAAACAACATTCAAAAAAGGTGGAGCAGCCCACCCAAACTTAATATGAATAGAATCAAAGAATATTAGAGAGGTTCTATCAACAAAATAGTACCCGAATTGGTACTTGAGCAAAATGTTACCTATCCTATCGCAGTTTCATTCAGACTAGACTGAAAGACCGCAGTACTTATCTTCCACATTATTATTCAGGTGAAACGATAAAGACACAGAAAATCACGAAAACTTTATCGTACCATCCTGCAGTCGTGAAAAAATATTAAATTCAAACAATACTATAATAATACATATAATATTATTGTTTAAATGTCGAGTAATTGGTAATTATAACCACCAACTTTAACACACACACTGAAAAATTAGTATTTTTTTATTGAGTGTTTCCTTCTGGCGCATTTTGATTCAAATACGACATGTGGCGATTCTCCTGAGGATGAAAACCGTTCCACACATTCATGACTGCTTTCGCACCAGGCTTCAGCTTCCTAAATTTGAAGTAAGCACCAACACCTGCAATATACGCTATTGATCAAATGTCACAATCACGTCATAGAGCTTGCCAAATTCTCGTACGATCGCCCGAAATGGCATCGGCGCCGACGATAAAGAACTGACTAACGTCAGCGATCTCTCTCCCTATCGGGATCGTTGCGACGAGAAAACGGGAGAAATGGCTGTTCGATTTCGGGTTTTTGTCTGCGCGGCTTAGATGACAGTTAGCATAGTATGAAGGGCTCTATTACGTCACTGTGACGTCGTAGTGACGTTATTTTTGGATGGTGTGGTCAGGTGGGGGTTAGGATTGACACGTGAAATTTTTTTTATGCTACGCCCACTAGAAGTATGTTAGGTACGAAACTACATGAGACCCCTTTTTTGTTTTTAGTGTCCATTTCACCCCAAAAGGGACACTGTCTCAAATTTTGAATTGTTGTTTGGGAAATATGCCTCGTAAATGAAAGATGAGAGAGAACTAGTAAAAGATGTCAATGGATGGAAGAAAACATGAAAAAAGCAATTGAAATGGTACAAAGCGGAGGAAACTCCTGACTGCAGCACGTACATATTCGGTTCCAAGAGCTACACTTCGCCGGCATGTTTATCAAACACTGAAGAAGGCCCCGGGATCACGGAGTCTAGGTTGTTCTCCTACCTTGGGCCAGAATGAAAAGGATCTTTTGCAACATATACTCGAATTTGAAAAGAGAAGCTTCCCATTAACAGTTAAAGACATTCGAAAGTTGGCTTATGAATTTGCAATGGAGAACAAAATTCCTAATAAATTCAGAATCTTCTAAAATGGCTGGAAAAGACTGGTGGAGTGGCTTTCGGGAACGATACGGAAACTTGATAACTATACGAAAGCCGCAGCCCCTGTCAATTCAAAGAGCAATTCATTTAAACAAGCCCACAGTCAATAAATACTTTGACCTACTGGAGGCAGTAATGAAGGAAAATTCACTTTTCAATTCGCCAGCACGAATTTACAATATGGACGAAACTGGATTGAGCCTTGTACCAGGCGTAAAGAACATTGTCGGTTCAAAAGGGCTCGATATTCAAGCCAAGTGACAAGTGGCGAACGAGGCCAAATACAAACTGTTATATTAGCTGTTAATTGCAGCAGAAATTAGATGTTCCACCGGATGATAATTTATAAGGGTAAGCGAGCAAATCCTGTATAGAAAAAGGACTTCCTCCTTCTTCCAAAGTATGCTACAGTGAATCTGGCTACATAAACCAAAGAGTTGTTCCTTGAATGGATAATGCATTTTTGCTCACACGTCACTCCAGCTCTGGAAAAGTACTTCTTATACTTGATGGGCATGGATCCACACACGAAGTGACAAAGTTCTTCAATACGCTTGTGCTAATCAATGTGGAAATTGTCAGCCTACCTCCGCACACCAGCCACTAATCTCCAGCCACTCGACAAAGTTCACTACGGTCCGCTCAAGATCAGTAACAGTGAAGCTGTCAGAATACACTTGCGTAACAACCCTGGAACTGGAGTATCAAGAGCGGACTTCCTTCATCTATTCACAAGGCGTATATGAAGATATGTACACTACAAAATGCTGTGTCAATCTTTTAGGTCCACTGGAATTTTTCCTAGATAGAGAGGCTATTCCGACCATGCATTCATTCCAGCAGAAACTACACATCAAATTTTAGTAAACCTCGATTTAGGAGAGCCTAGCAACATCACTTCCCAACCACCACTCGACATTCCTAGCTCGTCGACAAGTAATAATTTTGTTGCATGTGGTTTGCAGCAAGCTGACAATGATTCACCCTGTTGCAGTAAAGCTATTCAGCAAACATCAGGTCCCAAGTTTAGGCAGCAAATCTCTACAGAACAACAGAGTAGTTCATCAGCATCTCCAGAGGATAGTTTATTGGATTTCGAGTGACACTTCATTTGGAGAGATTCTGCCCTTTCCGAAGGCCCCACCTCGACTAAAACCACCTCGTAAGAAAGCGATTATAACTGGTATAAGAATACTCACCAGTGAAGGATATAGGAAAGAACTAGCAGCTCTAGAAAATAAAGAGGAATCTGGTATTATAACTAAGAAAAAAGCAAAGGCAGTGTCCAAGAAAATAGAGGCCAGCAGTTTGAATGAACCTCATGTGAGCAAGGTCAAAGTAGGAAGAATTATAAACAGAAAAGAATCTGCCAAGGCTGTTAGAAATAGTGATGTTTGTGGGTTTTGTGAAGGCAATTTTTACGATGATGAGGGGTGGATACAATGTCAGCAATGCTCAGATGGTTTCATGACATTTGTGCTGGTGTTTATGGCAGAAACGTTCAAGCTTTCACATGTGAGGAATGCCAGTAATTATTTACATATAAATAACTTGCCTGTTTCATTAGTTTAATTTTGTTATGGTATTCATGGTAAAGGACATTCAGTTGATCAACTAAAGTCTGTGCATGCCTTAGCAAAGCTTTTGTTCAGTTGCAAGTACATGCCTGGATGATTGATAAGTTTTCATGTCTGGTGGGGTAATATGAACACCATTGCTCGCCCCCACTGTAATGCTCCAGGCTTATTATTTATGATTTTTTTAGGCGTTTTAGACGCATTCAAATAGGTCAGTAGTGTCTGCAATTAATTTTGTTTAATGTTCGTTTTACCCATCCATGTGTCCGTTTTACCCAAATAAACTTTTGGGGAAAAATGCTCATATCTAACAAAATATTAGGCTGATTGCCGAAATCGACAGTGGGCTGTAGGGCACGTTCAAATTGCTTATTTTAATACGGGAGTCACGCTTCTATATGGTACGGATTACGAGAAATTAAGATTTTGCTATAGTGGTGTCCGTATTTGACGGGCCTACTATATCAAGTTTTTGCAGTTGGTAATATTGAAATAAATATACAATAGTGCAAATTTTTCGATTTCATGAGTTACTCACGTTTTATCGCAACAATTTTTGTAACTTTTATGAAAACAAGAAAGCAGTGTTCAAATATATACGGCAAATACCTACGTCGCTGTTCGCCATTTCCGGTTAGGAAAGCATAAACTTCGTTACACACCACCGACGTTCGATGAGCACGTGATCAAAAGAACAAGAAAAAGAGTGCCAGCATAAAAGCGACTTTTTAGTTTTTCCGTTTTCCAGCAGGAGTCCAAAAAAAAGATAAACGATTCATAGGTCCAAAAATAAAAAATCTTTAACCACTGAAAATTTCAAAGCAGTTGGTCCAGTAATCGAAGAGAAAAGCGATTTTATCATGACGAAAAGAAAACAACAAGATAACAACATAATATTAAAACGATCGTTATGTCCACTCACGTGTCCAACAAGTGAGCGATATTCAAATAAATGGACACGAAAGCTGAACGAAGTAGTACGGGTACTGGTATGCAATTTTCCACAGTAGACTACCGGTACGGCAGTATTTACGACAAATTGATTGATTTAATGTGTAAATTAATTGTTTAATTCTTTGATGGTAATGCATTTATTTTTTACTCCCGTTTGTCGTTTTTATTATAAACGTTGCAAAGAAAATATATGATGGGGAATGGGGATCCGTTAAAAACTTTTCATTGGAGAAGCAGGGGCACCGGAGTGTTGATAGTCTTCGGATGGGGGCTACGGACCATAAAAGATCAAGAACCACCGACTAGTGATTAAAAAGCGATTTTCATTCGATTCCTAAGGTTCAATAAACTTGTAGTGAGACGGTTCTATTTTTCTCAGACTCGTGGGCGTCTAAATTTGAGATTTTGTCATCCAGTATTCTATTTGTGTTATTTTCAATTTCTTGGTAATTATATACCGCGGAAACGAAGGGAGACGCAATTTAGTGCTTGCTATCGCATTCACATTGTGGAAAGTACAATGATCGAAAGTGTGTTTACATTTGCATAAACCGGAGAATAAATAATCAATTCGATTAAAATCGGTCTGAAGCTAACAGAGAAATCAGTTTCGCACTGGAAAAATTTACGGCAAATGTATTTAAACTTCCATATTCATGTCCACTTCCATAAAACAAACCAATGAGAATAAACCTTTTGTGGTGCGTAGTACTGATTCCGCTTGTAGGAATCCTATGATTGAAAACTTTGTGACAAAACTTACGCCTAGCTCGGATATGGTTTGCTTTGAAGGGTGCTGTTCCTCGATTAGGTGGATGGGCACTTGGTTATGCCTAACAGAACGCAAGAGCTCCACATTACTGATTACTTCGTGCGAGAGATGTAGGTTGGAGCTCAAGTGGATATGCTGGTTCATTTAGTTGTGTTTCCCTCACTCAAGATGGACGGGAGTTTGAATAATGTTTACGATATCCCACATATAAGCTGTATTTAATGTACTTTCTCCGTAAGGGACTTCGTATTTCCATTTTGTGTGAACACTTGAATGTGGTAGCCTTCTGTAGAGTTTCCGCTCTTGTCCTAATCTGACCGATAGCGAATATAGTTAGCTTACTCTGTTATCACCATGGGAATTGTTTACTGTGGTTGGGTCACGTAAGCGATTTATTGCCACCAAAACTCATTTTTTAATCGGCCAGGCTAGTGCTGTTATACTTTATAGAAGTGTTTACTTTGCATTGGCGTCAAGTCTCGAAAATATAATTTTTAAATCTATAATGTTTTTTCTTTTGTTATCGAGCAATTAGAAAGAAGGTTACGTGTATTTAGTATGTGAAAATTTGTTCAAACCGTTTGTCGTTTTCCGCTTTGCATTTAATAGCTGCGAAATCGAGGTTTATTCAGGGCAAAATTTAGGGTTCTAGGAAAATTCATCGCAGAAAATTTCGCCGTAGGAAATCTCGCCCAGGAAATTTCGCCGCGTGAAAAGTAAGGTTTTTGAGGTACCTTTTTATTTGAAAAAGATTCGCTATTTAACAGCATACCCTGACTCTATAAACCTAACTGTTTTTATCACAAATACTTGTTTTACAGTAAAATGCTCTTGCGGCGATTTTTCATGCGCCGACAGCGATATTTTCTGCGACGAATTTTCCGGACACGAAAATACAAAATATATCAACTAATTCTGTTTAGAAAACATTAAATTATAAATAAATGTTTCTAAATAAAGAAAATGACTGGAGTGACAGTGCTATTTTTGACTTTTGTAACTCTAATCAACGTTGTTCACTGTCAACTGGAACTGTCTGGTTTTCGAAACACAACATTATGGGCACACGAGGAATCGCAGAACTATGTGCAAAATCGAACTACACTACCTCGTGCACATATCAATATGACATCATTGTTCAAAGACGCTAGATCAACCATAAATTGGAAATTGTAAGAAACAACTTGTTTTATGTCACTTCAATATTTTACTATTTGGCAATCATTTTAATGACTATGTTTTGAATTATATAAGAAAATATTTTTTGCATTCTAAACGAGAATGAAACATTTGTTATATTTGTTTATCAGCAGTCGTGATCCTCAGTGACGACATAACAATCATAATAAGTTTTGACAAAAACCCTGAAGTCGGTTAATATGAGAGACTGAAAACTGACTCTTCTCATGAATTTAGCAGATTGTATCGAAAGAGATTTGCGATTTACGCCAACAACTTTTGCTTATTAGTAATATTGTATATGTGAATACGACTTAGTGCATATTTTGTAATATCAATACATCGTGCTATATATATATACGACTTGATAATATAGGTATGGTTTAGTCTGATTCAATCTATTGGAACCAGATTACAGTTGCGAATATGAAATACATTTAGTTGATAAGTAAATAATACTTTTACAGTTAGTCGACTCGACGGGAATCTGATTGTTAATTTACTTTCGATTGAAGAGATTGAGAGACGATTGGAAAAGAGTTCAGGTACTAAGTACCAATTTGTATTTTGATGTAACTTCTTTTATTGGTCACCATAATTGGAAATGGTAAGAAACAACTTGTTTTATGTCACTTTAATATTTTACTTTTGGCAATCATTTTAAGGACTATGTTTTGAATTATATAAGAATATATTTTTTGCATTCACAACGAGAATGAAGCATTTGTTATATTTGTTTATCAGCAGTCGTGATCCTCAGTGACGACATAACAATCATAATAAGTTTTGACAAAAACCCTGAAGTCGGTTAATATGAGAGACTGAAAACTAAATCTCCTCATGAATTTAGCAGATTGTATCGAAAGAGATTTGCGATTTACGCCAACAATTTAGCTTATTAGTAATATTGTATATGTGAATACGATTTAGTGCATGTTTTGTAATATCAATACATCGTGCTATATATATACTACTACTTGATAATATAGGTATGGTTTAGTCTGATTCAATCTATTGGAACCAGATTACAGTTGCGAATATAAAATACATTTAGTTGATAAGTAAATAATACTTTTACAGTTAGTCGACTCGACGGGAATCCGATTGTTAATTTACCTCCGATTGAAGAGATTGAGAGACGATTGGACAAGAGTTCAGGTACTAAGTATCAATTTGTATTTTGATGTAACTTCTTTTATTGGTCATGATTATTGATATATAAATATCCTTGTCTTGATTTTATCTTCTGTGATAAAATTTTTAATTTCTCTGCAATTTTTTATTGCTGAAGTAGAATAAAAGCATTCTGATTAAGATTTGCAAGAGCTAATAGACTCTTTGCTTGTAAAAACTGTTGTAGATATGTACCTAGAAAAAAAAATTCATGAATTTTGAATGCCATGAATGTCGCGCATGGATACCCCAAACATTTTGTTTATATCACTTTTTGATTCCAACAGCAATGTTTCCGCAATTAAGAAGTCAAAAATTGTATATTTGAATAATGAAGCTATAAAAGAGTTCAGGAAATTGAGCATTTACTTTTAAAAATGTAATAAACGGCAACATTATAAAATAATGACGGGTTTAAAATATTTTCCAGGTAGCCCCCGCGTACGAAGTAAATTTTGTCAACGTTGTCCCTGTGCATGCAAAACGTGAGTAAATATTTTTATTATATTATTTATCAGAAATGTTATTTCGGTCTGGGATGTTATTTAGCCTGTTTACTAATTTAAACTAAATTTGAAGGGTTCAAGTGGTAACTACAAATATTATATGGGAGTAAATCAGAATAATATCGCAAGGTATGTATGTCGGGTTGCCGCCATGCAAGATTGCATCGCCTTTATTAGCTCGCGCTGTCAACCGCACGTTTAGCGGGCGAGATTGTGTCGTGGTGAGCGACTATGTGGCATCGTAGGGTAAATATTTCGGATTCATGGTTTGAAGATATACCGAGCATGGGAGATTACTATATTTCAACTCAGTAGCTGTTGATAGAAAGCATTGATCATGTCGACTGTGTGATATTAACACAAGCCTTAATCACGTTAGAACATAGATTTTTCAGACTTTTTTTTTATTTTCATTCACAACAGCCTACCGAAAAAGAATGGATCATTTTCTCGGCCTGTACTTCGGAGATATGTGGCTGGAAGCGCTAGCGAAAACTCACCAAAAAGAACAAGGTAATGATTACAACACTTATTGTATAGCATGAAAATGATTTTTTGTTGAGGATCGTCCAAATTGAACAATGGACCGGGTTGTCGTGGGACATGCTCCACTGGGCACAATTCGACAGTGGGCCAACTTTTGGCCCATGGCCCAATTTGGAATATCTTCTAAAGTCAAAAATATCTTCAGAGTGATTCATATTCGAAAAAGTAAATAATTCGCCTTTGGCCGGAATTATAACTTGAACACTTGACAAACGTTATTCAAAGTATTTTGGTGGTAAAATGTGTGTCGCTCTGGAAATTCTCAGTCGCTGAATAAAAACTACATTTCCCCCTCTCTGCATTAGCTCTACAATGTCAAATAAATGTGTAGATTATGGGTATCAAAGGTGCAAAAGAAACAATGTGTCCTAACCTTCCACTACTCAATAGAAAAAATATGGATGCAGGGATCAAACATTCCTGATGATTTGGAAGTATCAAATACTTGAAAATATACCAAAATTGTTATCATTTTCCAAATGTAGCCTACTTCTGACTAATCGCCTTTTGATTTGGGTACCTCCAACATTCAATATAATTAACATATATTTGAGTTCTGAAAAATCTCATCGTGCTTATCTAAAAATGGACTGTAAACAAAACTCCTCATTATATAACTGAAACATTGCCAGATGTTAGAAATATGTCAGCTACGTGTAGGACGCAAGGTAACACAACAAAACTGTAGATAAATAGAACCGATAGTTTATATACAAAATTTTCCCACGAAAAACACTTTAAAAATTTCTGTAGTGAAATATTTGATTCTGATGATCAAAATGAGTTGCAAAATGTTCCATTATTACTGAAAATTGAATGAACAGAAAATAATTTGAATTGAAAAATTAAATTTGAAGCACAAGAATGGAGAAATGCATAATCTGGCCGGTTGACGATGACCAATACTATACCTGATAAAGTCTGTAACAAGCATTTGACTAGTAATATCATAATGAAATCGAACTAAATTCACTGCTTTTTCTGGGTATGGGATAGTCGAGGCTTTCCCTATATCCATTTGGTGATTGAGATCATATTCCTCATCGCTTTTATGTTCATTTGTGAATGCTTTACTTAATTTCTCATTTTTGTAATTTTGGTTATTTAATAATATTTTTAAACAATTCTGTTACATAACTTTTCAATAATTCACATATTATGATATCACTTATTCATCCCTCTTATTTTTTTAGATTTAATCGTAGCCGTTATCAGACTCCACCTGCCATATGACAAAATATCTCAGAATAATATAAGCTTGCAGTTCAACTAATATTACCACGAACACCACAGAGAAACATACAAAAGCCAGCGACGTCTCCAGATAATTTTATAAATATTATTGTTACAACTCACAGATTTATATAGCATAAATAAAATTATTCATTTGTGAGTGACGGGACAATAAAATTTATTGTTGAAAAGTCTCTAGTAATTTTTATTACGTTCGATCAATAAAACAGTATAAGATTCAATATTTCGAATGACACCGATGATCGTAGGAAATGTGCGTCCTAATATTGCACTAATTGAAACCGAAGAAAGTATAACGTAAGTTCAAATTTATAGTCCCAAACGGGTAGAACGTTGGATTCGATTTCACACTGGGAGCCATTGAGTAACATTTTAAGTCAAGTAGGCTAGGAGTATATTTTTTTCAACCAGTAGAAAATCGATTTCACATAAAATATGAAGAAAAAAGATAATCAAGCAATTTTACTGGGGAGTGGAAGAAGCAAGGAACCGAAGCTGATTATCGAGCAGTGACATCCCTGGTTCTAATTTCTAATAAAAAAGATTGGAAAATTTAGTTACGGAACCACTGTTTTAGTTGCGAGTTAATTTTATACTGCATAGAAAATGAACCAACTGTTATATTTAAAGATAGATAAATATTTGAGGGTTTATTGAAGAGGCATCAAACCATAAGATAGTTGATGTATTCCCCATTCCAGCTGCATTGCTTGAAGCTTAAGAGGCAAATAGTTTGGGAAATTTTTGAAGGTGACCTAAGGTAACCCACGTGGTTACAATGGTGAAGTATGAACTTATTATACCCAAAGTCAACTTGATTGAAGTCAGTTATGCAGTACCAACAGATTAAATAAATTTTGGAAATGTGTTTCAGAGAAAGGTACTGCATTCTTAAACGACTGACTATATGTTGAACAGTAAGTGATCTATGGGTCGATTAGCATAATTCAGTGGATCGCAAACTCGGTGGTCACGATTTTCGTAAAATTGAAAATATAGATATCGGCAACCCCACAACAAAGAAAGTACAGTAATTTCAAAAAATCAGCACATTCTGTTTAATTACAGTATCTTAATGCGAATGTGCCTGTACGTCGCCTGTAAGTTTTTGAAACCTTGGCCATACACAGCAGACACAGGAACAGCAGCATCAGTGCGATACAGTAAAATAAGCCAGCTCTCGATTCATATATTAAATATATCCTCATGACAACGTGTCTTTCCAGATCTCATTCTAACATGAGAATCAAAAATTTGGATTGTTCAATCCACGGCTGTCAAACTCGCGACTCTCAGTGACCTCCAATGCGGCACATGAGTATTCATAACGAATTGCAGTTTTTTTTGCAAGATTTATACTAAAAGGCACATTTTCCTGTACGGTAATTCAAACGTATTTTGCTTGCTTATACCTTTTGATAAAAAAAATGGTGGAAATATTGAGTTGAATTTGCTAGAATTTCCAAGAAGTATTAAAAAAAGTTTCCACCTTTGGTTTCGACTCAAATTATGAACAATCCCCAAGCTAGAAAAAGAAAATTTCACTTACTTGCATTCAAATCCAAGCTACTTGTGTGAGCCGGAAGTTAGGCCGCCCCGAACACTATTCAAGCGACCTCACCAGCGGTCGCGGCCCCCAGTTTGGTCACCACTGACTTAATTGACCCAAGATGAAAACAAGTTCCCGAGTCAGACGGGAAATTTATGCTTTATTCGTGTATATGAATGGGTTACAATTTAAGGTACGATTTTTATCGTTTTATTCCCAAATGCGGGCACTTAGGAAACAATGTGATTGATATTTCGCGACACACTCGACATTTGTTTGGCATACAACTGTCGTTCGTTTAATACTTATCGATCTTAAGATCGGTAAGTATGTTGATAGGTATTTGTCTGTTTGTCTGTCTGTCTGTTTGTATGTTTGTCTGTTTGTCTGTTAGATGAACGCGATATCTCACGAACGCGTGGTTGAATCTGCTCCAAATTTTGCATGTGCATGCATCTTACCTCGGACCAGAAGCCTATAGATTTTGGGTTAATTATGTCGTATAATTAGCGAGTTATTAACTGATTACCGATCTAAGATCGATAAGTCTTCGGTCTCCGACCGATATTCTCGTTTTCTATATTCATGTTGTTTCTAGACTGTCAAAATTCCATTTTGTTCTCGCTATATTTCGTTCAGATTCATCACGTTTATGTAGGGCAACGGGATGCAAATATTTTTACTGGGCTTAGGACATTCGTGACGGCGAGAGTTTCATTACATTTGTTTCTTTCCTTCGAACAGCTAGCTGATTTATGAAACAATGAAGAGCGAGCAACGCGGCATGGTGATCGCCGGTTGGCTACGGATTAAAGGAAGTTTGAAATAGGACGCGCGAAATATTCACTAAACGACGTCTGGCGAAGACAGGCGATCTACGCGCAACCCTAGAACATATTAAACGCCTGTGGTCACAATAGAATATCCATCAGTTTTTTTATTTTCATTATATGGATTTATGGTCCACGGTCAAGGTTTTGTTTTTTATCAATTCTAAAAAAACATCATGTTTATAATTTCAAAAATGTAAGTAAAATTTTTTATTTTGACTTTCACATTTACCGCCACGTTTGTATCTCCACCAAAGTCATAAGATTTTACCCGGAATGTTTAGCCGAGATATCAGAGAGACGTTTTGAGTAAGAAAAATCATGTAAATTAGCTCACGATCCTGCTACAAAAGCAATTAGATCTAGTGCATCCCTTCGGCAAAACGAGTAGGTTGCGATAATGAAGAATATGCTTATATCGGCGGTAATCTACTTATATAAACGATGATACAACCTAGCCTATGTTAATTGTAAGATTCCTCTGATGCAAAGACGCCACAACTAATCTGTTATGACGCCATAATATGGATTTCGAGTACATGTATTGACATTTTTCTTATAAAATGAAGGCATTATTACGGTTAATACTGCTCGGTTAATTTATGCTTAGAATACTTTGTTTTTAAAGTTGAAGTGTTGAATCTTTCAAGGTTATACAAACTCATTTATTTGATCGCATTTCAATTTTCGTAAGGTGGTTTTATCGCAGCAGGGTCTTTCACGTAATGGCTTATCGGTTGCGTCTTACTGGGCCAACCACTGAACTACAGCTTGAGAGGGTGTGCATGAGCCTCTGTCGATATTTGTGGCGTTTTGAAATTTATTTATTTTGATTTATTGCAAATGAGAAGCGCTTGGCAAGTTTTTACATCCTTTTTTCTTCAACCTATTTAATACAAAAAAATCAAATAGTACAGCCATTTTGAACAAAACAGGCAAAACTTGATTTAAAACAATTGTTTTAATTAACACAATTCTTTTTGAACAAATCTGTGGCGCGGCGGTGTGGCTCAACGGGCTAAGCGTTAGAAATACGCTCGCCACCGCACCTCTAATTACTCTGCGTGGGTTCGCAGGTTCGAATCCCATGCAGGGATTTGTGCGAGAGGATTGCTGCGCTCTTAGCCGTCGTTGGGTGGTTCACGTAACCGCTGGTCGGTTACGGCTTCCTCCACCACCAAGTCCATGCTTCCGAAAACAAACAATATAACTAATCCCATACCCAACTCGGAATGGTAACCGGACGAGAGGCCGTGGTTCGCCATATGAATAAGCCGTCTTATCGGCTTTCCTCTCCCCCGGGATAAATATGTAAATCCTATCCTATCCACGGTGTTCTATATTTTGTCTTGCGAAATCAGAGAAGCCTAAATAGAAAGCCGTTACGCATCACTGGTTTGCATGTCTTTTCAATGGATGTTTCTCCGAGCACCGACTTCCTCGTTTACTTCGTGACATTGGCTAATCAGCAAAATGCAAAAAGTGACGTAACAATGCCCCTTTTCGCATCCGCTCGGACACTTTTCTCACGCAGACAGATTTTCAGGCGTAAACATTACCTCGTTTTCGCGTTTTTGAATTCTTCGGATGGGGGATGGGGGCTATGGACCATAAAAGGTCAAGAACCACCGACTAGTGATTAAAAAGCGATTTTCATTCGATTCCCAAGGTTCAATAAACTTGTAGTGAGACGGTTCTATTTTTCTCAGACTCGTGGGCGTCTAAATTTGAGATTTTGTTCATTCAGTATTCTATTTGTGTTATTTTCATTTTCATGGTAATTATATACCGCGGAAACGAAGGGAGACGCAATTTATTGCTTGCTATCGCATTCACATTGTGGAAAGTACCATGATCGAAAATGTGTTTACATTTGCAAATCCGGAGATTAAATAACCAATTCGATTAAAATCTGTCTAAGCTTACAGATAAATCAGTTTCGCACTGGAAAAATGTTACGGCAAATGTATTTAAACTTACATATTCATGGTCACTTCCATGAAATAAACCAATGGGAATAAACTTTTTGTGGTGCGTAGTACTGATCCCGCTTGTAGAAATCGTATGATTGAAAACTTTGTGACAAAACTTACGCCTATCTCGGATATGGTTTGCTTTGAAGGGTACTGTTCCTCGATTAGGTGGATGGACACTTGGTGATGCCTAACAGAACGCAAGAGATCCACATTACTGATTACTTCGTGCGAGAGATGTAGGTTGGAGCTCAAGTGGATATGCTGGTTCATTTAGTTGTGTTTCCCTCACTCAATGTGGACGGTAGTTTAAATAATGTTTACGATATCCCACATATAAGCTGTATTTAATGTACTTTCTCCGTAAGGGACTTCGTATATTCATTTTGTGTGAACACTTGAATGTGGTAGCCCTCTGTAGAGTTTCCGCTCTTGTCCTAATCTGACCGATAGCGAATATAGTTAGCTTACTCTGTTATCACCATGGGAATTGTTTACTGTGGTTGGGTCACGTAAGCGATTTATTGCCACCAAAACTCTTTTTTTCAATCGGCCAGGCTAGTGCTGTTATACTTTATACAAGTGTTTACTTTGCATTGGCGTCAAGTCTCGAAAATATAATTTTAAATCTATAATATTTTTTCTTTTGTTATCGAGCAATTAGAAAAAGGGTTACGTGTATTTAGTATGTGGAAATTCGTTCAAACCGTTTGTCGTTTTCCGCTTTGCATTTAATAGCTGTGAAATCGAGGTTTATTCAGGGCAAAATTTAGGGTTCTAGGAAAATTCATCGCAGAAAATTTCGCCGTAGAAAATCTCGCCCAGGAAATTTCGCCGCATAAGAAAAATCACCGCGTGAAAAGTAAGGTTTTTGAGGTACCTTTTTATTTGAAAAAGATTCGCCATTTAACAGCATACCCTGACTCTATAAACCGAACTGTTTTTATCACAAATACTTGTTTTTACAGTAAAATGCTCTTGCGGCGATTTTTCATGCGGCGACGGCGATATTTTCTGCGACGAATTTTCCGGACACGAAAATACAAAATATATCAACTAATTCTGTTTAGAAAACATTAAATTATAAATAAATGTTTCTAAAAAAAGAAAATGACTGGAGTGACAGTGCTATTTTTGACTTTTGTAACTCTAATCAACGTTGTTCACTGTCAACTGGAACTGTCTGGTTTTCGAAACATAACATTATGGGCACACAAGGAATCGCAGAACTATGTGCAAAATCGAACTACACTACCTCGTGCACATCTAAATATGACATCATGGTTCAAAGACGCTAGATCAACCATAATTGGAAATGGTAAGAAACAACTAGTTTTAAGTCACTTCTATATTTTAGTTTTGGCAATCATTTTAAAGACTATGTTTTGAATTACATTAGAAAATATTTTTTTGCATTCATAATGAGAATGAAGCGAATGAAACATTTGTTATATTTGTTTATCAGCAGTCGTGATCCTCAGTGACGACATAACAATCATAATAAGTTTTGACAAAAACCCTGAAGTCGGTTAATATGAGAGACTGAAAACTGACTCTTCTCATGAATTTAGCAGATTGTATCGAAAGAGATCCGCGATTTACGCCAACAATTTTGCTTATTAGTAATATTGTATATGTGAATACGACTTAGTGCATGTTTTGTAATATCAATACATCGTGCTATATATATATACGACTTGATAATATAGGTATGGTTTAGTCTGATTCAAGCTATTGGAACCAGATTACAGTTGCGAATATGAAATATTTTTAGTTGATAAGTAAATATTACTTCACAGTTTGTCGACTCGACGACTCTGTAACTTCTTCTATTGGTCATGATTATTGATATATAAATATTCTTGTCTTGATTTTATCCTCTGTGATAAAATTATTAATTTCTCTGCAATTTTTTATTGCTGAAGTAGAATAAAAGCATTCTGATTAAGATTTGCAAAAGCTAATAGACTCTTTGCGTGTAAAACTGTTGTAGATATGTACCTAGAAATAAAATGTCATGAATTTTGAATGCCATCCAAGATAATACAACTTTGATGGCTGCAACTGAGAATTTAACGTGAATAATTTAAGTAAATCACGTGATGGGATATTTGAATGTCGCGCATGGATACCCCAAACATTTTGTTTATATCACTTTTTGATTCCAACAGCAATGTTTCCGCAATTAAGAAGTCAAAAATTGTATATTTGAATAATGAAGCTATAAAAGAGCATTTGCTTTTGAAAATGTAACAAACGGCAACATTATAAAATAATGACGGCTTCAAAATATTTTCCAGGTAGTCCCCGCGTACGAGGTAAATTTTGTCAACGTTGTCCCTGTGCATGCAAAACGTGAGTAAACATTTTTCAAATCTTGAATATCATTTAATGATCTTTTAGCAAAAAATACAAACGCCGTATCATATTATTTTGCCGAAAAATTACGTAAAATGCTTCTTTTATGCGTCATATTTAAAATAAATAGACACAATTGCTGCATTACCAAAGTATATTTCAGTTTCCATTGCTGGTTTTTACCTATTTAACTTTAATTGCAAACTTATTTTCCATGTTAATGTGGCAAATATTATTTATCAGAAATGTTATTTTGGTCTGGGATGTTCTTTAGCCTGTTTATTGAGCTTCAGGCACTAAAATCTTTAAACTAAATTTGAAGGGTTCAAGTGGTAACTACAAATATTATATGGGAGTAAATTAGAATAACATCGCAAGGTAAGTATGTCGGGTTGACGCCATGCAAGATTGCATCGCCTTTATTAGCTCGCGCTGTCAACCGCACGTTTAACGGGCGAGATTGAGTCGTGGTGAGCGACTATGTGGCATCGTAGGGTAAATATTTCGGATTCAGGGTTTGAAGATATACCGAGCATGGGAGATTACTATATTTCAACTCAGTAGCTGTTGGTAAAAAGCATTGATCATGTCGACTGTGTGAAATTAACACAAGCCTTAATCACGTTAGAACATAGCTTTTTCAGACTTTTTTTTATTTCCATTCACAACAGCCTACCGAGAAAGAATGAATCATTTTCTCGGCATGCGCTTCGTAGATATGTGGCTGGAAGCGCTAGCGAAAACTCACCAAAAAGAACAAGGTAATGATTACAACACTTATTGTATAGCATGAAAATGATTTTTTGTTGAGGATCGCCAAATTGAACAATGGACCGGGTTGTCGTGGGACATGCTCCCTTGGGCACAATTCGACAGTGGGCCAACTTTTGGCCCATGGCCCAATATGGAATATCTTCTAAATTCAAAAATATCTTCAGAGTGATTCAGATTCGAAAAAGTAATTAATTCGCCTTTGGCCGGAATTATAACTTGAACACTTGACAAACGTTATTCAAAGTATTTTGGTGGTAAAATGTGTGTCGCTCGGGAAATTCTGAGTTGCTGAAAAAAAACTACATTTACCCCTCCTACATTAGCTCTACAATGTCAAATAAATGTGTAGATTATGGGTATCAAAGGTGCAAAAGGAACAAAGTGTCCTAACCTTCCACTACTCAATAGAAAAAACATCTGATGCAGGGATCAAACATTCCTGATGATTTGGAAGTATCAAATACTTGAAAATATACCAAAATTGTTGTCATTTATCAAATGTAGCCTACTACTGACTAATCGCCTTTTAATTTGGGTACCTCCAACATTTAATATAATTAACATATATTTGAGTTCTGAAAAATCTCATCGTGCTTATCTAAAAATGGACTGTAAACAAAACTCCTCATTATATATCTGAAACATTGCCAGATGTTAGAAATATGTCAGCTACGTGTAGGACGCAAGGTTACACAACAAAACTGTAGATAAGTAGAACCGATAGTTTATATACAAAAGCAGAAACGAACACGAATATATATATAAATGAATTTTCCCACGAAAAACAATTTAAAAATTTCTGTAGTGAAATATTTGATTCTGATGATCAAAATGAGTTGCAAAATGTTCCATTATTACTGAAAATTGAATCAACAGAAAATAATTTGAATTGAAAAATTAAATTTGAAGCACAAGAATGGAGAAATGAACAATCTGGCCGGTTGACGATGACCAATACTATACCAGATAAAGTCTGTAACAAGCATTTGACTAATTTTGGTTATTTGTCAATATTTTTAAACAATTCTGTTACATAATATTTCAATAATTCACATATTATGATATCACTTATTCATCCCTTTTATTTTTTCAGATTTAATCGCAGCCGTTAATCCAATCAGACTCCACCTACCATATGACAAAATCTGTCAGAATAATATAAGCTTGCAGTTCAACTATTATTACCATGAACACCACAGAGAAACATACAAAAGCCAGCGACGTCTCCAGATAATTTTATAAATATTATTGCTACAACTCGCACATTTATGTAGCATAAAAAATTATTCATTTGTCAGTGACGGGACAATAAAATTTATTGTTGAAAAGTCTCTAGTAATTTTTATTACGTTCGATCAATAAAACAGTATAAGATTCAATATTTCGAATGACACCGATGATCGTAGGAAATGTGCGTCCTAATATTGCACTAATTGATACCGAAGAAAGTATAACGTGAGTTCAAATTTATAGTTCCAAACGGGATAGGACGTTGGATTCGATTTCACACTGGGAGCCACTGAGTAACATTTTAAGTCAAGTAGGCTATAGTATATTTTTTCCCAACCATTAGAAAATCGATTCCACATAAAATATGAAGAAAAAAGACCCACGTGGTTACAATGATGAAGTATGAACTTATTATACCCAAAGTCAACTTGATTGAAGTCAGTTATGCCGTACCTACAGATTAAATAAATTTTGGGAAAGTGTTTCAGGGAAATGTACTGCGACTGAATATTTATTGAACAGTGAGTGACCTATTTGCTTAATTCGGTGAATCGCAAACTTCTCGGTGTTCTCGATTTTCGTAAAATTGAAAATATAGATATCGGCAACCCAACAACAAAGAGAGCACATCAATTCAAAACAATTAGCACATTCTGTTTAATTACAGTATCTTAATGCGATTGCGGACATGTGCCTGTACGTCGCCTGTAAGTTTTTGAAAAGTAAAATAAGCCAACTCTCGATTCATATATTAATTATATCTTCATGACAACGTGTCTTTCCAGATCTTATTCTAACATGAGAATCGAAAATTAGGATGGTTCAATCCAAGGCTGTCAAACTCGCGACCCTCAGTGACCTCCAATGCGGCCCATGAGTATTCATAACGAATTGCAGTTTTTTGTAAGATTTTCACCAAAAGGCACATTTTCCTGTACGGTAATTCAAACGTATTTTGCTTGCTTATACCTTTTGATAATAAAATGTTGAAAAATTGAGTAAATTTTGCCTAGAATTTCCAAAAAGTAGTAAAAAAATTTTCCACCATTGGTTTCGACTCTAATTATGGACAATCCTCAAGCTAGCAAAAGACAACTTCAAGAAGATGTGACGACCCTTGCTTTATTTGGTAAATGATGTCAAGTGATATTGTTACCTTATTTGGTGTTTTGCCTTTGAAAACACTGGGGGCGTTGTGACACTGTCGATCTGTTTTTCTGGGTGTGTCTGTTAGCGTGTGCTGTGGTTGGTAGGGTGAGGTTGTCTGAGTGGTGTTGGTTTTTGGTTGAATTGTGGTCATGAGTGTCTGTGAGAGTGCCTCTGGTCTCCGGTGGGTTATCGGGGATGTTTGTTTGTGGTTTTGTGACTGCGGGATGGGGATTTGTTGGATGTTTATAGGCTAGACCAGTGCTCTTCAACCGGGTATACGGTATACCCAAGTGTATACCAGAACATAAGTTGGGTATACAACTGATGAAGGGTATACGAAAGGTGTACAGCCTATAAAATATTCAATTGGATACAACAATGCAAACGCGGCGCACATGAAATGTAAAATGTAATTAACGCTAAGAACCGACGTGAGCACGTTGTTACATCACAAATTATATAGAGGACTTGCACGGGTCACGTGACTTTGTTACTGGACGGCAATAAATCAAAAACGTCCATTTAGCTCCTGTCAGTTGCAAGTCGGATTATACGTTTCCGTTTTGTTTGGCTGTTGAAAATGGTTATTTCATATTGTTCCGTTGGCTGTACGTATAGTATAGACAACGAAATGAATCTTCAGTTATATTACACTGTTTTCAAAAGATCCGGAACGTCGCGCAATGTGGATATTATCTATTGGCAGGACTGCTTGGTGTGAAGTCCAGAAGCCATCTCACTTGTGTTTCACTGTTTGCGGACAGCACTTCGTTGATGGTGAGTCATCATGTGCCGTTATCAAATTTTTAAATATTTATAAGCTCCCTCATTTCAATTGAAAGAAGATGACAAACTACTGTTATTGTAGGCATAGGCCTACTTGAGACTTGACTCGTGTAAGGTATCAATCAATAATTGCCATAAGGTATTGTTTTCCTAGTTAGCAGGTAATCTATTAGTAAGTGTGAAAAGTTGAATAGATAACTAAAGTTTAACGCCAGTGCTAATGCAAAAAATAACCAGAATTCAATTGAATTCTCCATCTATGAATACACTCGCCACCGAATCGCTGATCCCCCTGGGAGTTTCACAGGTTCCAATCCCATGCGGGGATAGTTATGTGCGAGGGGATTGCAGCTTTCCTTCAACTGAGGGTGGTTCACACGACCGCTGGTCGATTACGACATCCCCCACCATCAAGTATATGCTTCTAAAACAAATAACTGGCTAACTAATCCTGACATAGAATGGTAATCGTACGATGTTGCACCTTGCAATCTGTCCCCAACCACAGATAAATTCTATCCTGAAAGCTACCCACATTGGTAGGCATAGTTGCGTTTTAAATTGAAAGAAATCTTCATTAATGGTCAGAAGGTGTTGTCTGATTGTTTTGTTATTTAGCAGGTAATTTATTACTGATCTGATACACAAACTTGGCACTGTCAAATGATGATTAGTGTTTAATTTATTTTCAGGAAAAAGGGAAGATAATCCATTATCAGCTGCTTATATGTCCCATCGATATTTGAATTTTTGCCATCCGCAGAGAGGAAGAGAATAGTTAGTAAAAGGGGGATTTTGAAGAAAGGCAAAAGGCAGGACCATTTCAACAAATTATGTCAACTTGTATGCGTTGCAATATTAATTTGCAGTTGTTAGCATAAACATTTAATGTGTCTTTTGACTAGACCTACCACACTTCAATAAAAGCCGCCTACACCCCTTTTCACAAGAACCATAATGCTGTAAAATATTTGATAGAAATTCCCCCCCCCCCCTACATTTTTTACTCTAAATTAGGGAATGTTACTTCCAGGTTACCTCCTGCCTGTGGAATCAAAACATTAGACAGATTGGTGTACTGTGCGCATTCACAAATCTTTGCGAATCAAGTGTGCCTTTTGACTAAAGAAAATTTAGCATTGAAATGGTCAATCTCAATATCAATAGTATCTGCAGATAATACCAATTGTTTTTTAAAATACATTTTTGATGTGCTTTATTTTTCAAATATAATTTATAATTACTGTAAAGTGTGTGATATATTTGGTACCATGAATACCATTTGCAAATTAGCTTGGGTTAACACCCCTCTCAAATAAAAGTTTAGACTCTTAAGTCATATCTCATAATATTCTTTAAACAAAAGGTTGCGGCTAGCCGGCTACCCATCAGAATTTCCTTTCAGATCACAAAGTCGCAATATTACGCCTCGCTAAGTTTCATTGGCAACTGTATCTGGTTGTAGTATCGGTGTCCAACTTCAGACTGAAACCTTCACTACCAGACCCACCGAAGCAATTTTTTTTCCTGATAGGGTCGTCTTGAAGTTGCTTTCGTTAAAGCACAATGGACACTTTATCTCCACCAATCCACAGTAATCACAAGTTACTTTGTCATTACGATAAGCATCAATAAATGAATACTGAGGATGTATTATCAAGTCACGCAAGCTGAGGTCTTGTGCCACTGTGGTCTTGTTGCAACTTATACTTTGCCATCCATCTATTCCATGGTCGCACCCATATCTGTAAGATAATGGATACAGATAAGAGTTTTCATAAAATCTAACGATCAAGGAGTGTGAAATTTAGGTCCATATCCCACCACAGCCACTATAGTCGTAAATGAATTTGATTCCGGGTAGCATATCTTTTTAACCAATGACAATAAAAAGACATTTTGGATCAGTTGTTGGGGGGGGGGGGAGGCGGAGCCAGTTATTTGTTCTCAGAAGCATGGACTTGGATGGTGGGAATGGTCGAATGGTCGTAACCGATCAGCGGCGTCATGTGAACCGCTGGTGATTGAAACCTGTGAAACTCCCAGGGTGATCAGTGATGCGGTGGCGAGCGTATTCCTAGATGCCGAATTCAATTGAATTCTGGTTATTTTTTGCATGACCACTGGTGTTAAACTTTAGTTATCTATTCAACCTTTCACACTTAGTAATAGATTACCTGCTGATCAAGGAAACAATACCTTATAGCAATTGATTATTAATTCCTTACTGTCTTTCACAAGTCAAGTCTGCAACTGCAAGTACTGAAGTAGGCCTACTAATAACAGTAGTTTGTCATCTGCTTTCCATTGAAATGAGGGAGCTTGTGAATATTTAAAGAAATTGATAACGGCACACTATCACTACATTATCACTCATCATCAACGCAAACAGTGAAACACATGTAAGATGGCTTCTGGACTTGACACCAAGCAGTTCTGTCAATGCAATAGGCAATAGATGACATCCACATTGCGCGACGTTCGGATCTTTTGAAATCAGTGGAATATAACTGAAGATCCATTTCGTTGTCTATACTATACGTACAGCCAACGGAACAATACGAAATAACCATTTTCAACAGTCAAACAAAACGGAAACGTATAATCCGACTTGCAACTGACAGGAGCCAAATGGACGTTTTTGTTTTATTGCCGTCCAGTAACAAAGTCACGTGACCCGTGCAAGTCCTCTATAGATAATACGGGCATGTGTCTGAGTTGGTGATTTCGGATGCCATGCACTTTGTTTGATTTACCGGTAGTCAAACATTATTCCCGTCGACGCTAAGGCAGTCAGTCAAATTTATAACTTGCGGTCACTAGCCTATTAGATTGCATGATGATATTGCAGTATAATATGTGCTTAAAATTTATTGTTTATTTGAGCCTTAAATAAACATTGGTATTTTTAAGGTATACAAAGTTCTTGAAAAACTGTAAAAGGTATACTTCGATAAAAAAGGTTGAAGAACACTGGGCTAGACAGTAGGCTGATATTATCGTATCAGTACAGTGCCATTGCAGTTATTTTAGTGTTGTATTTTTGGTTGTTGTCAGGGAATTAGCTATCATCAGTACTGTTCAAAGCGTTTTTATTGTGTATATTCTGTTTTCTTGCATTGTGCTGCCTGGTACTCATCGCTTTATTGTATGCTTGTCGTTTTGTTTGGAGTATTTGGTTTGTGTTGAGATTGTTAATTAATAAATAAAATATTATAAATTGAAGTAAATATTGAGAGGAAACGTGGCGTCAGATCATATTGGAAGATATTCTGAACTTGGCGTGCCTGTTTTTTTTTTTGATTGATACCGGTGCGGGTGTCCCTCATTGACTGGTGCGGCTCATTGACACCGCGGTTTACTCGACGTTGCAGGAAAATTCGGACATTCCAGAACTGCATTCTTTTCAAGTACCACTTCGTACTGCCAGTGCCAGTAATGGTGCACTTGATGTCAACCTGACGATTGAAAGCTGGTCTGTGGAACATACCGTTGTCGTCGCCGATCTAGGGTCACGCATGGGCATCCTAGGTATGGACTATCTTGGCAAATGGGACTGTGTTCTGTAGCCCTCGTCGGGTCGTTTTGTTTTTGAGGGACACGATGTTACTGTGCAGAACCGGTCCAAAACGTAAGTCATTTATTTGTTTACTGATATATTCATTAAATGATAAACGTAATATTTTTGCATTACTTGAATTAATCAAACATTCTCAACGATAGTTGTTTAATGTCATTGGATCAACCGATGATCATGTGAACTCGTTAATTAGAGTTGGTACTGTAAAATCATTTCAGCCTAATATTAGTAAGCTAATGACACAAAAGAGATGCCAAACGACAGGACATATGTAAAACATTGAGTTTATTCTGGAATCTGGAGTATTTTTGTAAATTTTAGGTCCAAATATTATGGTTAAGTCATATTAGTGCATGTATTATTCTTTCCTTATCAAAACTTCGTTCAAAAACGTTTTGGATAGTTGTACATAAAAATTTATGATTTTTTGTAATAAATAAAGTAAATTTATATTCAATTTCGCATCAGGATTGTGGAACGAGCTGTAATGCGTTCAGTATGTTCATTTTCATACAAAACTAAAGAATTTAATTAGTTACCAGATGTGCGCTGCGAAACTCATTTTCTGGGCGTTTTTCAAGGGTTCGTCTCACGGCCCATAACCTTGGTAAGGATCTACATGTGTTTAATAACTAAACAGGGCTACGGAAAGGCTACCCAACTCAACGCAAGTGTTAAAACTAAGATTCATCGGTTCGCTAACAGCTGATTCAATTTAATTGTTACGTCATGCAGAAGTCATTGTTCATTGCCGGAAATGTAGAGAATATAGGACAGATCGTAGGATTCGTAGCACATATTTCTTGTAGTAAAAGCGTCTTTTCCGTAAAACGTGCAACTTTTTGAAGTTGGAACAAGGCATTATTTGTTACTAAATTTATAAGGAACATTTTAGAATTATTTTCACGCTACGAAACTCATTTTAGGCGTTTCTCAGGACCTCGTCTCACGGTCTAACGGTGTTTTACCTTTTGTCTTGCGAAATTTAGAGAAGACCATTTACAGGCGCCAACTCGCGAACCCACTCGCACTCGCAAAATAAGCACTGAAAATTTGGCAATGGTAAAGTATAGGAAGAATTTTTCGGGGGTGAAAGGTCGGGAGAAGGTCCATTGCTTTTTATTTCGCGAAAGTAAAATACAAAATTGTACAATTTCCGACAAAATATAAATTTTTCGCGTAGAGGTAATTTTGAACAACAAATGAACTAAGAATTTAATAAATTCCCCTCATGCGCAAACCTGCATGTTTACAAACGTAACCACTCATCCATCGCATCTGCAGAATTGCCACGTTAAATTTGCAACTATCAAGAAGTGTAAAAACAAGTCAGTTCAGTTTGCAATTTATTTCGAATTAACTAATATATTGTCAGCCATGGGGAAAAAGGATTCAATGACAAGAGGACCAATTGTTGAAAATTACCGAAAGCGTATAGGTGAGCTTTATAGTATGGTACGGTTTATTTTGCTGATTACTGGATTATGGAGTCGAAATAAATTGATCTTACCTACCGTACTGTAGTCTGGTAGTATAGATTGATACCGGTGTTGGATCGAGTATTCAGATTTACTTCCGGCACCAGAGCTCGTAAAACAGTGAAAGATCATATGAAACAGTATCACGCAGCAGCTGGAATAAAAAATCGACCGTAGTGAAAATTTCACATAGTTTATTCCCCTGACCTCTTTTCTTCATTTTTGGAGTTGGTATGGTACCGTACCATAAAAGCACCTAAGGACAAAAATACCATATTTTTATCAATAACTCGACCATTTATTGTCCAAATGGGCCAAAATTGCTCGGTAAAACATTGTTCTGTTGTTGCGGTAATTTACATTTCCTGCAAATTTTGGGTTAATTGGACTGTTTACTATTGAAATAATCTTTTTTTGTGACATCTGACTGTTTTCCTTCACTGCCCCAACTTTGGACAGTCATTTTCCTCACTGCGTAACTGCGGTACATTTTATCCTGATTATGGCATTCAAAAGTCAGAAAGTGCAATGCTTTCAAAACGAAACATCTTTATACAAAATTATATCTTTCTATGGGTGCACTTATAAACATATGGTGTTGACCAATTAAGCATTTCAAACACTAATTTAGCAGGGCCACAGCTTTATATGTGAATAGCAGTTATAAATATTTGGTGGGTGTTGACCATGCTTTATTTATATATAGGTAAGCAAGATTATAAGAAGTCAAAAAGTGCGATAAAAGAAATGAAGACGATAGCTGAAGCTAAAAAGTCATCAACTGCACTTTCGGTGAGCTAAATGTTCTAACCTATTTGGTCCAGGCCTAATCTGGTCCCACTGCTTTTAGACGATTTGCTAGTTTAAGCGAATTGGTCTTTTCTTGTAAATTGCCTGCCACATTCGAAGTAAAATTGCACAACAAAAAAATCTTTTCTAAATTGAGTTGATATGCAACACAACTTCATACTAAGTTATGCTCCCCTTCCTGGTATCTCTGCATTTCGTTTAGTTTGTGTCAGAAAACAAATCTCCAGAGATGATTTTTTTTAGATTTGTGCCATATTTAGTTTTTCTGTGCGTATTCTATGTATTGTCACGATGGAATATGTTTACTAAATGTTATCACTGTTTAAAAGCAATTCCTGTCAGTTACAAAACTACTATATCAAAATTCTTCTGTTTCAATAGATTTCGAAATAAATAATAAACACTGACATATGTTATATCTTGCAGGACATTGTTCTTGTTGCGGTAGCTTTTTCTGTGATACTCGCATTGCTGTATGTCATGTTCTATGCATCCCTGGCGAAATGATCAAACTGAAGCAAATAATAAGATTCATAGCTGCATATCAAAGAGGCAGAAGTAGTAGTGATGAACTACGAGTCTAATTAAATGAGCAAAACATATTCTCAGTTTTTATCTCATCGTAACAAATTGACACTATTTCATATTATATTCTGTATTTCTAATGTAGCATTTTACCATATCCTGGTGCAATTGCCTTTATTCTGTTAATATTTCAAATATAAAATATATATTTTCATAATCTTACCGGTAGCAATTTTGTACACCATCTAAGGCTAGCTGGCAGAAAGTTCAAATGATTGAAATAGTAAAGTAACAAAACAGTTTCGGGTACAAATATGCGCATAAATTTTCACAAATCAGGCCCAGACAATTTCATTCTGCGATGAAATTATAAAATAGATGGACAAGTTTTATGGAAAATTCAATTTAGGCATCGAATCATGAAGTCTAGTTGTGGATGATGGAACAAGAGCGCAGAAAAGACCGGACCACTGAACCTGTTGGAATGGTGGTCGTTCATGGAAATTCGATACTGATGTTGGAAGCATTGGAACGAATACAATGATTTTAAATTGAACTAATCAAAAAAAAAAAAAAAAACAGATACCCCAATCCATGATTGTGCATAGACTGTTATGAAATGTTCAATCTATTTGCTGAAAGAAACAATTTTTGTCACTTATTTTTGCAATGAAATTGAACTACAGCATCACCATTTTACGTCAACAAGTTTTTTTTCTTATTCCATATTTTTTATGGAAAAGCACCGTTGTGATACACATACCATAGACATGCATTCCATCCTATCATAATTGTGTTTTTTTTTCAGTTACACTTTTACAGCATAGCGTTTGACTGGATGTTATCATTTTGAAACAGCTACACAAGAATGCAACCAGCAAGCCCTCAAGCATTACCGGTACATATTTGCGAATAAGAAGTTGAATGCCTATTACCTTCGGGAGTGCAGACGGTTCTAATTGTACAAGTCTGCTGTAATGATTCTGTATGTTGTTGCAAGTCTATGCATGCCACTTTTTCACATACATGTTCAATTTCTTGTGATTCACAATTGGTATGTGATAAAATTTCACTGAACAATCCATTTTTTCTGTAATGACCACATAAAAACCGCAGCCACAATTTTATTGTTCTTTTTTGAATTGATCAGTGTCTCACATTTTAAAATTGATTTAAAAGGTATTGCCCGATTTTACTTGACTGTTCATGGGGATGGGCACATACTCGTACGTTTTTACCTTTTTTATTAAGTTATGCCCGTCCTCCAGGTCCTCTGCATTTTGTTTGTTGTTTCTTTCAGAATATTTTAAATTAATTTACTCATTACTTTGAAAGAAAAAGGGAGCAATGGGTAGAGCTTGAATACTAGTCCTGTTTTACATTAAAAAATGTTTACATACAATATTGCCTGGATAGATTTTACACACCAATGATGCTTTATGAACTTCCGAAACCCTCTGATAAATTATAGTGAACGAAATGCATAATTATTCTAGGAATAAAACAAATTTCTTTCTAAAATGCAACATTGAACGAAAAAGAACTTTTGAGATTAACTATCATTTTGCGGAATAATGAATGACCTCTACGTCATTGAACATGATTTACTTTTCTCTAGCACCAAATATTTGACTACCAACACGAACATTAGTACTACCAGCTAGAACGGCTTCTTTAAAGTCTGCAGACATACCCATGCTCAATTCCATATTGTCTAATGGAATTTTTAATCTTTCGCATACCTTTTCTCTGCAATTTCTAAGGCATTCAAAGTCTGGGTTAGGCCCACTTGAATAATCATGTCCAAAGCTTCCAATAGTCATTACTCCGCGGAGTTTTAGTTTAGGACAATTTTCAACAATATGAAATGCTAGATTCGCACATTCTGAAGGTAAAATCCCACTTTTGCTATCTTCACCACTGGTATTAACTTGAATCATAACTTGATAGGACGTGCCTTCTTTTGTCTTTTTTTCAAAGCTGTCTGCCACTTCAAATGATGATATTGTTTCAACCATATATAAACGGGGGCAACCAATGAGCTGTGCTATTTTGTTTTTCTGCAACATCCCTATGTAGTGCCACTTTATGTCTGGACAAAGATGATTCAGATCAGCATCTTTTGCCTTCACAAGAAGTTCTTTCACATAATTTTCTCCAAAATGCCTCTGACCAGCATCATACGCTTTTTGATCATTAAAACAGATTTTGTTTTGCTCACAGCCACAAGTGTTGGTTCAGCCCCATTGTTTGCTCTCCGTGCAGTTGTCTCTTTGATGGCAGCTTGAATTGCTCTTAGATTACCAGCTATGTCAATTACTCCTTCTGACATTATTTTCATCATACTGCTTTACAAAAACAGAAATTTGAAAAATTTAATCCAGGAAATGAAATATGATCATAGTAAAAAAAAATGTCCTCCTTCTGGCATTATTTTCATCATACTGCTTTACAAAGACAGAAATTTGAAAAATTCAATCCAGGGAATGAAATATGATCATAGTAAAAAAAAATGTCAAGTACACAAATAGGGCCAAATTTTTATTCAAAACTTGATCATAACATGATATATACCGCATTTCTCTGTATAATACGCACTTTCATGGTCAGATTTAGTCTCCTAAATAAGGGGGTGCGTATTATCCATTGGTCTAGGAAATATTGGAAAATACTACCTAATTTTCATTTTATGCGATAATTGTCACATTTATTAATCTTAAGTTCTTAATATCATGTGGCAAAGTCTGGTAGAATCAGATCATGCTTGATTATATAGAAGCATACCCAGTTCAAACAACAATTTAGCTTTGATAAAGGCGTCTGAAAACACAATCTGACGTGAGGATTTGTCAGCCCAAGGAGGAGAGACAAATAACTTTAGAAGTTACTTTAATGTCACATCATGATCGGCAGACGTTTTACAGTCAAATACATAGTTAACAAAAGGCAGGCAAACAGAATGCCTGAAACGCTTCCAGAAAAAAAAAAAAAGGTAACCGTACATTGAACCCATGTGTATATCTGCAGGTGCTGAAACCCATGGCCATGGGTTAGGGTTAGTATGGATTCAAATATCCGTAAAACAAAAAAAAATACCATAGGTACCATAGTATGCAGATGCAATTGTTGTTGGTTCAAATGTAATGGAACGGAAAAAACACCTGCAACGCAAGAGAGGGACTGAATTTTCATATGCGTATTATGCATGGAGTTTGAAAAATTCCCGTAAACATACTAAAATATAGGTGCGTGTTATCTATGGGTGTGTATTACACAAGGAAAAATACGGTATATATGGCAGTCGTTTAAATTGGTCTGGTCCTATTCCTACAAATGCATTGCCCAAACAGAGTAGCCTACTGGAGTATTAAACGAATCAATTTTTTTCGATACATAGTATATTAATCTAAAACCAACATAAGTACTTACACAAGTCATTCTTTTAGACACATACCGGTAGTGCTCTAATCTAAAAATATATAAGCACTTACACAAGCTGACAAGTTATTCTTTTAGACACAGTACATTAATCTAAAACTGCATATAGGATAGGATTACCTAGGTAAAGCTAGCGGCCACTTACAGCGGACAGTTACCAATTTTTCCAAATTTGAACCCGCCATGTTCCACGACAGTTGTCGCGAATTCACTTAATTGCGGCTACATGGATGCAAAAAATTAGGTGATTCTCCCTTTTTGAAACTGACGACAGACCTGAAACATAATAAAAAACAAAAATGATTGAAACAACACATTTTTTCCTCGATAAAATGAATTATTGCTCAGAAGCTCATTTATCGACAAAATCTAAAATTCAACTGAGTTAAAGCTAATTTATGCAAGAAATAATTTTTCTCATCCAATTCATTAATACAGTGAATTTGGTGAAGAATATAAAAACATATATAAATTTAAAAAATCCACCTTGCGGAAAGTAGGGAAATTCCCCCCAATTAAAAAATTTTAAGAAATCGTCATATAACTCAGTTAAAGCGTATTTATGCAAGAAATATATTTTCTCATCCAATTCATTAATACAGTATTTGGTGGACAAATATAAAATACATATTAAAATTTAAAAAAAATCCACCGTGCGGAAAGTAGGGAAATTCCCCCCAATTTAAGAAAAATATAGAAATCGTCTATTTAACTCAGTTAAAGCGTAATTTAGGTAAGAAGGAATTTTTCTCATCCAATTCATTAATGCAGTGTGTTTGGTGGACAAATATAAAATACATATTAAAATTTAAAAAAAATCCACCGTGCGGAAAGTAGGGAAATTCCCCTCAATTTAATGAAAATATTTAAGAAATTGTCTATCTCAGTTAAAGCATAATTTATGCAAGAAAGAATATTTTCTCATCCAATTCATTAATACAGTGTATTTGGTGGACAAATATAAAATACATATTAAAATTTAAAAAAAATCCACCGTGCGGAAAGTAGGGAAATTCCCCCAATTGAAAAAATATAGAAATCGTCATTTACTCAGTTAAAGCGTAATTTAGGTAAGAAGGAATTTTTTCTCATCCAATTCATTAATGCAGTGTGTTTGGTGGACAAATATAAAATACATATTAAAATTTAAAAAAAATCCACCGTGCGGAAAGTAGGGAAATTCCCCAATTTAATGAAAATATTTAAGAAATCGTCTATCCAACTCAGTTAAAAATAATTTATCAAGAAAGAATATTTTCTCATCCAATTCATTAATACGGTGTATTTGGTGGACAAATATAAAATACATATTAAATTTAAAAAAATCCACCGTGCGGAAAGTAGGGAAATTCCCCTCAATTTAAAAAATATTTAAGAAATCGTCTATCCAACTCAGTTAAAGCATAATTTATGCAAGAAGAATATTTTCTCATCCAATTCATTATACAGTGTATTTGGTGGACAAATATAAAATACATATTAAAATTTAAAAAAAATCCACCGTGCGGAAAGTAGGGAAATTCCCCCAATTGAAGAAAAAAATATAAGAAATCGTCAATTTGACTCAGTTAAAGCGTAATTTAGGTAAGAAGGAATTTTTTCTCATCCAATTCATTAATGCAGTGTGTTTGGTGGACAAATATAAAATACATATTAAATTTAAAAAAAAATCCACCGTGCGGAAAGTAGGGAATTCCCCTCAATTAAAAAATATAAGAAATCGTCAATTTGACTCAGTTAAAGTAATTTAGGTAAGAAGAATTTTTTCTCATCCAATTCATTAATGCAGTGTGTTTGGTGGACAAATATAAAATACATATTAAAAGTTAAAAAAATCCACCATGCGGAAAGTAGGGAAATTCGGTACTCTCGAAATATGGACACAAAGATGACGCACAACCTGAATATAAAAGGTGTACCAGGATAGGTTCAGATTTAGAATCTAGATTGTACGCTTTTGGGAGCGCAGGGAATAAATGACCGTCTCACTGCTACTGTTCCCGACAGACAACTCAGTAACAATTCTACCTCTACATGATTCCAAATGGGATATAAAAGTATAATTTATTCAATCACAAGCAATTAAATAATTTTTATAATTCGTTTGTAACTGTTCAGACTATTATTTACTCCTTTCAACTGATGACAAAGAATCGCCGTGATGTTTACGTTATGGATAGTTATATTGCTGGTTGTGTTTTTCACCAACATGCATCACCATCTAATGACTGATGTAAGTCAATCTTTCAATCTTTGATGTTTTTAATTTTTCAGGCGGATAGGAAACAACCAATAAATATATCCGAGGCTCGAGAACCCCGGTGTAATTGATATGTATAAGTTGATTTCATGATTACTTTTGTTACAAAAATATGAAAAAACAATTTGACGCCGAACACCTCGGATTTGAATGTAAAACTGCTGGAATATACTTGCGGAACTATGATCGAAAACCATTGGTATAAACAAAATTAGGGTTGGAAAAATCGACATTGTTTTTTTATCTAAAAAGTCCATATTCATCTTTCCTACAACACTTTAATATCATACTTATATCATCTCATTTGTTTTACAGTTAAATTTAGGAAACTATAGCGTGATTGTTTCTGCGTGCAGGATAAATGGAAATCACTGGGTTCTTTTGCTGAGGATGAAGTTTTGTTTTGAAATTTTAATAATATTCAATAAATAAAAATTGTTGTGGCAAAATTACATATTGCCTTTTTGTATTTGATTCTTCATTTTGATTCGAACAAAATATCTTTGCAATTCATTGACACAACGAGAATTAATTTCTACTTTCTGAATCCGTATGGAAGTTCAATTGAAGAGACCACCACGCATGTAAAAATTATAAGTGAGTTCAATTCCTGAAATACATCTTATCGTTAGCCATTTCAACTACAAGCTAAAGTAGAAACTCAATAAACCTTTACTTCACTGTTGCCAGATCGCTTTCAAATCCTGGAGTGGATTTTTTAAAATTATCTTCTTTACAGTTATCCAGTCCTTTATTTTTAATATTCTATTTCTCTTGTTGAAAGTATTCGGCTGTTTTCGTAAAAACGTGTCCTGTTCTTACAAGTAATATATGAACTACATAATCACATTGTACCAGTAACAAACTGTATTTACAATTGGAATGACATTGACAATTGTGAATGACATTGAAATTGAATGAAAAGTATTGATTTTTAAAAATGAAGTTACATGAAAAGTATATTAGTAAAACTGAATTTACACACGTTACAACACACAGAAACTGGATGAATTTACGAAAAGAATGCGAAAACTGGACACCAACGGTTACTGAACATCCCATTCAGAGGGATTGTGGAATTTACGTGATAAAGGTATATAGGAAGTCATACAAATTTAATTATCCATACATCAGTATATGTTCTTTGTCAATTTATTCACAAGAAATTGTTCCATAAGAATTGATTAATTTATTTTCATATACCAAACAACATTCTCATGATTTTCTTCACACTATTTTGCGTTATTTTGAAACAACTTATTTTGTCTATTGGTTCTTTGGCATATATTCGATTGCAGTTCGCTTGGATGATGCTGGAAACTAAAAGCATCCATGTTGTTTCACCAATCGATGAAAGGGCGAAAATTGCCAGTTGGGTGATTCAGAATTCCGGTATGACGAAATGAATATTTGATATTTAGATAATTATCTAAACATTACGCAGTTAAAAAATACATTTTGACAGACTGCGTGGAGACGTACTGCAGTTTTTGTGGGGAGACGGGAGAAGCAGAATGGGTAAGTAACCTAATAGGTGTTCAATAAACATGCAATATATAATTTTATATTCATGTTATTTTGACTTTTTTTAAAGATTGGCTGTGATGTGTGTCCACGCTGGTTTCATGCTGGATGCTACAACGGAGATATTGCGGAGATATTGGACGTACTTTGGAAATGTCCAGCATACGAGGCCGGTTGGCATTAAAACGCATTTGATGTAAAAATAAGTTTCAAAGGGTTGCCACTTGACACTAACAAGTAGATCAAATGGCCATTTCCCGTTAACCTGTCCATTGAGTACAGAGCCATGAATATACAGTAGAAGCGCTACCCACGAAATTAATTCGTTCCGAAGACCCGTCGTATTACATAAGGCGTTTTACCTGTAAATGCCCTAATCCGTTTTAAGTCCACGTAAAACTCGGACATCATTTTCGTATAAATTATATTAATGCTTAAAATCCAACAACTACATGTTAGAATTAGATTACAGCATAATAAATAAACAAAGAACATACGGAAAGAAGGAAGAACATAGTAATAACGAAGAATAAACAAATCATAATAAGAACGGTATGCTTATGTACCTTTGTTTACCATCGTTAAGACCTGAAAACTTGTTTTATTTTTTAAGTCGGTTTTTACTTGATTTGAGTCGGCGCTACCCACGGCGCCATAATTTAGTGCCACGACGCGCACGGCTGATTTCAATTGCGATAAAAAATGGAATGGCTGTGAATATTTTTTTTAAATCGAAAGTTTGACGGCGCTAGGAAATGTGCGTCATATTCGGTATTCTCAAAAACACCAAAAAAACGATATTCGAAGGTCGCAATATTCAAATATTAGGTTTGTATTGAACATCCCTGCATTAAATTAATCTAAAATGAACAAATATCACTATGCAAGTTTTCGGAAAAGAATTGTTGGATTTTTCGTATCCAGAGCCTTTCGTACGGAGAATTTCTACTGTATACAAGTTTTTCGTGATATTTTTTGCTTCCATTTTTTTGTGATTGGCGAATAAAAAACGATTTGTTGATCGATTCGTGTGAAAACTTCATTTGGGAATTGAAAGTTTCTTCATACGTTTACAGTGATCGTAGCGGCTGCTATCGATCGTATCGTCGTTTCTTCCAACGTCTTAGTACGGTGTGCCATACTTCCTTTAGCTCTTTAATACAGTTTCACAGTCTTTCAAATTCTGAGATATTTTTTAACAACAGCATTAAACGGTTCGGCGACATACATATTCGACATAACAAATGAAGCGCCATAAGTGTCAAATCGTTACTAATCTTGATGACGCCACCTCATCTGTTAAGGTTGACAATACTATTCTGATTTAGGCTGCTGATGTACTGGGTTAAGGCTGCACGTTCACCGAAGGTGACCCAAAGATACCAGCATAAGTTACTACTGAGATGGAGTGAGAGGGGGTGTTACGAGGTTGTAGTGTAAACCAATAAAATGAAATAAGAACATGATAAAACTTCAAAAATAATATTTAGTTATGGAGGAGAATGGGAATGATCAATAAATATGACAAGATTTCGCTTTAATTTATATAAATTTACGATTCCGTTGATTTTAACATAAGTTAGGGGAATTTCCCAACTTTCCGCACGGTGAAATATTTTTAAAATTTAATATTCGTTTTATATATCACCATCAAATACACTGTATTAATGAACTGGATGAGAAAATATTCTTTCTTGGATAAATTACGCTTTAACTGAGTTAAATAGACGATTTCTCAAATATTTTCATCAAATTGGGGGAATTTCCCTACTTTCCGCACGGTGGATTTTTTTTAAATTTTAATATGTATTTTATATTCGTCCACCAAATACACCGTATTAATGAATTGGATGAGAAAATATTCTTTCTTGGATAAATTACGCTTTAACTGAGTTAAATAGACGATTTCTCAAATATTTTCATCAAATTGGGGGGAATTTCCCTACTTTCCGCAAGGTGGATTTTTTTTAAATTTTAATATGTATTTTATATTCGTCCACCAAATACACTGTATTAATAAATTGGATGAGAAAAAATTATTTTTTGCATAAATGGGTTATTCCCTGCGCTCCCAAAAGCGTACAATCTAGATTCTAAATCTGAACCTATCCTGCTACACCCTTTATATTCAGGTTGTGCGTCATCTTTGTGTCCATATTTCGAGAGTACCGAATTTCCCTACTTTCCGCACGGTGGATTTTTTTTAAATTTTAATATGTATTTCATATTTGTCCACCAAATATACCGTATTAATGAATTGGATGAGAAAAGATTCTTTCTTGTATAAATTACGCTTTAACTGAGTTAAATAGACGATTTTTCAAATATTTTCATCAAATTGGGGGAATTTCCCTACTTTCCGCACGGTGGATTTTTTTAAAATTTTAATATGTATTTTATATTCGTCCACCAAATACACTGTATTAATGAATTGGATGAGAAAATATTCTTTCTTGCATAAATTATGCTTTAACTGAGTTGGATAGACGATTTCTTAAATATTTCCATTAAATTGGGGGAATTTCCCACTTTCCGCACGGTGGATTTTTTTTAAATTTTAATATGTATTTTATATCTGTCCACCAAATACATTGTATTAATGAATTTGATGAGAAATATTCTTTCTTGCATAAATTATGCTTTAACTGAGTTGGATAGACGATTTCTTAAATATTTCCATTAAATTGGGGGGAATTTCCCCTTTCCGCACGGTGGATTTTTTTTTAAATTTCAATATGTATTTTATATTCGTCCACCAAATACACTGTATCAATAAATTGGATGAGAAAAAATTATTTTTTGCATAAATGGGTTATTCCCTGCGCTCCAAAAGCGTACAATCTAGATTCTAAATCTGAACCTATCCTGGTACATCTTTTATATTCAGGTTGTGCGTCATCTTTGTGTCCATATTTCGAGAGTACCGAATTTCCCTACTTTCCGCATGGTGATTTTTTTTAACTTTTATATGTATTTTATATTTGTCCACCAAACACACTGCATTAATGAATTGGATGAGAAAAAATTCCTTCTTACCTAAATTACGCTTTAACTGAGTCAAATTGACGATTTCTTATATATTTTTTAATTGAGGGGGAATTCCCTACTTTCCGCACGGTGGATTTTTTTAAATTTTAATATGTATTTTATATTTGTCCACCAAACACACTGCATTAATGAATTGGATGAGAAAAATTCCTTCTTACCTAAATTACGCTTTAATTGAGTTAAATTGCGATTTCTTATATTTTTTTCTTCAATTGGGGGAATTTCCCTACTTTCCGCACGGTGGATTTTTTTTAAATTTAATATGTATTTTATATTTTCCACCAAAAACACTGCATCAATGAATTGATGAGAAAAGCTCCTTCTTACCTAAATCACGCTTTAACTGAGTCAAATTGACGATTTCTTATATTTTTTTCTTCAATTGAGGGGAATTTCCCTACTTTCCGCACGGTGGATTTTTTTCAAATTTTAATATGTATTTTATATTCCCCAAATACACTGTATTAATGAATTGGATGAGAAAATATTCTTTCTTGCATAAATTATTTTTTAACTGAGTTGGATAGACGATTTCTTAAATATTTTCATTAAATTGAGGGGAATTTCCCTACTTTCCGCACGGTGGATTTTTTTTTAATTTTAATATGTATTTTATATTTGTCCACCAAATACACCGTATAATGAATTGATGAGAAAATATTCTTTCTTGAATAAATTACGCTTTAACTGAGTTAAATAGACGATTTCTCAAATTTTTCATCAAATTGGGGGAATTTCCCTACTTTCCGCACGGTGGATTTTTTTAAATTAAATATGTATTTATATTTGTCCACCAAATACACTGTATTAATGAATTGGATGAGAAAAATTCTTCTTGCATAAATTATTTAACTAGTTAAATAGACGATTTCTTAAAATTTCCATTAAATTGAGGGGAATTTCCCTACTTTCCGCATGGTGGATTTTTTTCAAAATTTCGATATCTATTTTATATTTGTCCACCAAACACACTGCATTAATGAATTGGATGAGAAAAAATTCCTTCTTACCTAAATTACGCTTTAACTGAGTCAAATTGACAATTTTTCTTATATTTTTTCAAATTGAGGGGAATTTCCCTACTTTCCGCACGGTGGATTTTTTTTAAATTTTAATATGTATTTTATATTTTCCACCAAATATATTGTATCAATGAATTGGATGAAAAATATTCTTTCTTGCATAAATTATGCTTTAACTGAGTTGGATAGACGATTTCCTAAATATTTTCATTAAATTGAGGGGAATTTCCCTACTTTCCGCACGGTGGATTTTTTTTTAATTTTAATATCTATTTTATATTTGTCCACCAACACATTGCAATAATGAATTGGATGAGAAAAATTCCTTCTTACCTAAATTACGCTTTAACTGAGTTAAATTGGAGATTTCCTATATTTTTTCTTAAACTGGGGGAATTTCTACTTTCCGCACGGTGGATTTTTTTTAAATTTTAATATGTATTTTATATTTGTCCACCAAATACACTGTATTAATGAATTGGATGAGAAAATATTATTTCCTGCATAAATGACGCTTTAACTGAGTTATATTGACAATTTCTTAAAAATTTTCCTTTAATTGGGGGGTATTTCCCAACTTTCCGCAAAGTGGAATTGTTTTAAATTTAATATATTTTTTATATATCTTCATCAAATTCACCGTATTAATGAATTGGATGAGAAAAAATTATTTCTTGCATAAATTACGCTTCAACTCAGTTAAATTTTAGATTTTGTCGATAAATGAGCTTCTGAGCAATAATTCATTTTATCGAGGAAAAAATGTCTTGTTCCAATCATTTTTGTTTTTTATTATGTTTCAGGTCTGTCGTCAGTTTCTAAAAGGGAGAATCACCTAATTTTTTGCATCCATGTAGCCGCAATTAAGTGAATTCGCGACAACTGTCGTGGAACATGGCGGGTTCAAATTTGGAAAAATTGGTAACTGTCCGCTGGAAGTGGCCGCTAGCTTTACCTAGGTGATAGGATTTACATATTTATCGCGTTATCGTCCACTTACCCCTCGTAGCTCTGCGAAATTACACTACTAAAAAGCGGCCACACACAAAAAAGTTACGTCCGAAAACCCAACCGAAAAAAAACGGACCATATATCCATGTCGCCAACTACCCATTGTTCCTTTGAAAAAGCTCAAAAATCTACACCAATATAAGAGATAAAAAGATGAAACTTGGCAGGTGGTTAGAGTTGTGTTTCTTTCAACCATCTTTGAAGTTTCGCGTTTCTACATTTAAAGGAGGGGGAATAGGAGGGTGCACATTTCCAATATGTCGATAATATCTTTGTCGACCAATTTGCGACCACCGTGTTTTGGTCCGTTTGATTGCTGTGATGCGGTGCTTTGTTTATAATTTGACGACATTTGTTTGAAATAACCGTGTTCTTAAAATATATGACGGTCAGAAATGCGATGAGAAGTAAATTTTTTTCACGCATGGCTGCGTATGCCCTAGTCTCGACGCAGCAGAAACGTTGTTCAATGCTTGAAATCCGTGGTCGCACACTGGCCGTTCGGTCGCAAATATGTCTTCAGAGTGTCATACTTTGGTGGGTATATATAGCTTTAACCCCTGGTCGTAGAAAGTTAATTCGAGGTTAAGCGTGTAGAATAAATGCCAATGCACCTACCGTGAAAACATTTACGGGTTAGAAATATTGGTTTTAGTTTTATAGCGGTTTGAATGAAATCGTCCGCCGACTGGCTACACCACCCTACATCCATTTTTAGAGCTTCGTGCAAAGTTTCAACGTCTTAATTATATGCGGTAACAACATAATAATTGCGTGCAAAATCACGAGAGAATATGCGTCGTCTACCGTAAGAGCTGCTGCACATGTTGAATTTTTGTGAAGTTTGTAATGCTTCTTTCTTTGCATATTTATGCATTTGTGGTGTTTCCAGAATGAATGTAACAAAACAGCAAAAAAATGAAAACAAGTATCGCAGTTGTACAGACATGCTCAATACTGCATTGCATTAATAAAGAAAAATGAATAATAATTGAATTTCTCTGCAGACACACAAGACTAAAAGTAAATAAATTCGGTCAGCTAAGGTAAAATTGCAAAAGTTCAGCCAAAGTAGACTATTTTTATTTTCACTGATAACTCTATTCTATTACGGTATTAGGTGCGGTACCGGTATGTTTTTAACAGTCTACCGTACCGTTAGGTACGGTCCACATAAAAAACTTTCAATTCCAACTAACGGTGGTACAGCACAGGGGGTGGGGTCCCTATATAAAAACACCTGTGTTACAATTGGTTCCATCAAATTTTGGTAGTACTATAGAAGAAATTCAGGGAAGGGTATAATCATGATTCATGATAAAATACTGTTCAATATTTTGGACAACTTCAATATACCCAGGGATGTCAAACTCGCGGCCCCAGAGAACTTCCAGTGCGGCCCTCGAACGCTAAACAATAATAGTAATAGTTTTTTGAAAGTTTTTTTTTATCTAAATGTAAAAGATTTTTCCAATTTTTTAAAGTGAAATTGATTATTCACGCAAAAAACAATTTACTGAAAGTAGTTTTAAAAAATTAATTTTGTTTTTTGTTTACATTTTGATCCAATTAAGGATTTACACATCAAGCTAGCAAAAGAATACTTGAATAAAACATTTGAGTGGATAAATTAAACGCAAAGTACATGAAGAAGGTGGCATTTTCGAAGAAAAATGGGATTTACAATATTTCTGCATTTCTCAAAATTCTGAAGCACATTGTTTTTGTTTTGTCATATTTCCATCAGTACAATGAAATAACACAATAAACTCAGCAGTCAATATGACAAATTCAAAGACCAACTTCGAACAGAAAATTCCCATGTGTTTGTATATTAATATAATTATACAACGACTTAGTTTACTAAAAATCAATATCAACAATTATTCAAGCAACTCAATGCCACGCAATGTGGCGCGAAATTTCTTGTCAAAAAAATCTGTCATTTGTTTGTTTAATGATCTATACGCTTTCTTGCATTACTGGAATTAATTAAACACTCTCACAGATCCATATTAACCCATGATCATGTGACCTCGTTAGTTACTATAAGAGTTGGTACTATAAAATCATTTCAGCCTGGCCTTAGTATGCTGGTGACACAAAAAAGATGCCAAACGTCAGGACAAATGTAATTGAGTAGACATTGAGTTTATACTATAGTATTTTTGTTAATTTTAGGTCCATATATTTAGATTAAGTCATTCTTAGTGTATTTATTATTCTTTCCTTATCCAAAGCTTGTTCAAAAATGATTTTGATGGTTGTACATAGAATTTTATGATTTTTTTGTAATAGATACAGTAACTTGCAATAATAGTGGAATGCAAATATTAATATGTAATTGCATTTCAAATTAGAGAAAATAATAGAACTTTATCCAACTGTTTAATTGCATCACAATATATGGACCAAAACTATCTTAAAAATATCTTTTAAGTATACATTATCAAAAACTGTTTGCGGCCCTTTTTACAATTTCCAAAATGCGATGCGGCCTATTGTATGTATGACTTGTATTGTAACTTGTATTTGCTGTCGCGATGTATTATCTCAATGTGTCAAACTTTTAATTAGTGTGCATATTTTGCTTCCAGGTGTATTGTCTTGTTTATTACCTCAGCTTGGAGTATTGACAAGAAAAAGGTGCCAGTAAATTACGTAAAATTTTTTTTTAACTATTTGTTATAATCAGAATTCACAATTAATAGGAAATATAAACAGCCAACAATCAATGAGAACTATATGCAAAATTCCTCAGATTAAATATGTCTTCTAAAATCGGAGGAAGGCAAAAGATATAGGTAGTTTCAATTCACACAAGTCTTTCAAGAAGACTTGCTCGAGCCAAACTAAATGAGCATCATCAGGTGATCGGTAAGGTTGCAAGTTGAATTCAGCCCTGCAACCTCCTGCATAGACGATAATATTAAGATTCAGATTCAGATATTTTATTTCGTCGTGCATGAAACATTGTCAACAAATAATAATAAATTTAAATAAATCAAAAATACACAATGTTTCGCAATTGACGAGGAGTCGCGAAAGACTATTAAGTCATCGTGTCAGCGACACCTATATGCTGGATTACAGCAACAGATATAGCAAAAGACTTGGGTTTATCACGTACAATACGGTACTAAAAAGCATAGAAACAACAACAACGGATGATAAATAAAATACGGAAATATGAAGAGCCATGAGGACTTTAATTAAGGAAACCGGTACCGCTTGACGAGCGCAAGGGCGCCATCAAGCGAATGCGATATACCTCAATGTACACAATTAAACGAGAATAACGCTTATTAACATGACTAAGCACTTTGAAAACTGGATCGGCGTGCCCAGCAACGTTAATTTCAATTTGACAGAACTTTACTGGCTTAATGAACTGATGCATGCTGAAGCATGCATTTCTTTCACATTTAGGTTATGTGATAAAAAGTTGTCGAAATTGAAAAACAGAACTTGGCACATACAGAGTAAATGACGATGCGAATTTAGAATACAGTGGAAGAACACGATTGCATCCCGGTATGGTACCGGTAACGATTCAGGGAATATACGACTAGAAGAAGATCAGACACATGAAAAGGCAATGTTTTCAGACTACTGGCAAAAATAAACATCAAGGTAATGATTTTTCAATGCATGTTTGAAGGAGATGTAGTTCATTGATCGAATACTGTCAGTGAGCGTGTTCCATAACTTGACACCAACGAATTTGATGGAGTTTTGAGTAAGCTTGGTTGAAAAGCGATCCACAAAGTAAGAGCCTTTAGCAGATGACCGTGTCCCATAGGAGTGAATACTGCTCTCCTTTGAAAAGTAGTTAGTGAATGCTGCAGGGAGTTTATTGTTATGGTGTTGATGCATTAACTTTAACACTTCAATTCTATGTATATCTACAAGTTTAATAATTCTTAGTTTATTATAAATAGGACTTAGTTGTGTGCGATAAGCAACATCAGAAATAGCGCGAATGGCCCGATTCTGCATAATTTCTAATCGGTGCAATAAAGATTTATCAGCAGAGCCCCATGCAACTACGCCATATTGAATATGGGACTGGAATAGGGAGTAGTAAACCATGCGTAATGTAGGTAGCGATGTAAATCTTTTAAGTTTATATAATATCCCAACCGACTTGGATAATTTAACGGCCAGGTTTGAAATTTGTGTATCCCATTTCAATTTGTTATCAATATATATGCCAAGGTATTTATAAGAAATAACGTTTTCAAGTTGTGTACCATCAATTTGGATTGACAGACCATTTAGAGATTTACGCCTATATGGTGATATTAACAATCTTTTCTATATTTATTGTTAGTTTGTTAGATCTCATCCAATTAGCCACCTTTGCAATTTCAGCGTTTGCTCTTGATTGAAGAGCTGCATGGGATTTGTCGCTGTCGAGGAGGCTAGTGTCGTCAGCAAACAATTTGGTTGAGAGCGAAGAGCAGTGAACTATGTCATTGACATATACTAGGAAAAATAATGGGCCCAATATACTACCTTGTGGAACTCCGTGAGTCACTGGTAAGAGAGAGGAACAATAAGTTCCCACTTTGACATATTGTGTTAGTGGGCTATGAGCTAAATTTAGACACAAACATATCTACGAGGCATTATGTACCATCAATGTTACCTACGATAAACTGAATATGTAATATGTCTAATAAAATCACCTACTAAAGCAAGTTCGATTGGTGCAAACTTTGTGTTATGGAATTGTATCACAGCACCGTTAAGAGAAGTATAAACAGTCTTGCTGTTTTGTAAGACACCCTCTTTAAATAAAATTTCAATGTATAAGTACAAACATTAAAACTAGTAACTTTGAACTTTGTCATTATCTGCAAAATGTTCCACACAAATCTTTACACTATCGCGTTTGTAATCTTCTCTGATAAAATAAAAACGTCTATGATGTCCAGAATTACTCTTTACAGCTAGCTTGTCTGCCATTCCAGCTTTCCAAGTGAGCAAAACTTCT